TCCAAAAGGAAAACTCTGTTCGAGTTTCTTGGGGCTTCTGGCTGGGTTTGGGGTCCTAGACTTTGGACCCGCACTGTTACCGCGAGAAGCTGATAGCTGGCAAGCGGCGAGGAATGCACTAAGATTCCGACGTGTCCCCAGCCTATCATAGAGAAGGACCAGGAATTAACCGGATTCCACAGAACATGCAAGTTGAGAATACTTTGACATCTGGCCGACGTCCTCGAAATTCTATCTGATTGGGTGAACTACGGATCCCTAAACCCCAAACCCCAAACCCTAAACCCTGAACCCTAAACCCTAAACCCCGCATCCCAGATGGAGACCTCTTCAATCTGCTTCTCGATGTCCTCATCACGGCGCTTCATCGCTGCCAAGGCATCTTCCTCCTGAGGATTCCCGGAGCTCAGGGTGTAAGGGTTTAGGGGTCGGGTTTAGGGTTTCGGGTTTAGGGGTCTTTAAGGGCTTAGGGTATACGTTTTACGGTTTCCGTGGCGCCACTTCACCTACTCTTCGTCTGGCAAATCATGCTGCCAGAAGAACTACTACTAGTGGTGTTCTTAGCAGCGTGATGTACGCAGGCTGTCATTACCACCGTCACGATTCTATATCGAATTGCTTGTTCTGCAAGGGTAGGATGGTGTGACTGTGATGACTGTGAGGAGGAGGAGGACCAGGAGGGGGAGGAGGAGGAGGACTTCGATCTACGTACCTGTCAGTTTGCTCCTGTCCGTCATCCTACCTGTTTTCGATGACCCATGAAGGTAAACTAGCCCTGAAACCCCAAACCCCAAAGCCTTGGGCAAGAGGCTGTTGGGTGTCCGACAAGGGATCAGATGAGTTCAACTCAAGCCCACCATTGCGAGAAGCTCCGTTTGCTTCTTCGGGGGGGCATGGATTTTTTGTTCATAGCTCCGTTTGCTTCTTCGGGGGGGCATGGATTTTTTGTTCATAGTGATGTAAACCCTAAACCCTAGACCTCGGGGATGACAGGTAATTAGCTCAGACATGTGACCAGAAGTTGCAATGGAACTTCCCTGGTTTTATCTCCCACCATGGAAGCCTTCAGCCGAGTGTGTAGGAATACTGGCAAGCAGTAAGGCTCCTAACAGCAACGGCCTAAACATCCGAAATCCTAAAACTACTAAACCCGGAACCGTATAGCTGTGAAATCCTACACCCGAAAACCCTAAACTCAACCCTAAACCTTACACCCGAAATCCCGAACCTTGCAGTCAAGCCGAGAAGCACAGATCCGAAAAAACCAATCCAAAGGCCCTCTGCCAGCCCCAAATTAAACCCGAAAGCACTGAAGTAGGGCTTAGGGTTTAGGAACCCTAAACCCTAAACCCTAATGGGGTTTAGGGTTTAGGAGCCCTAAAACCCTAAACCCTAATAGGGCTCAAGGTTCAGGGACCTCACAGCCCTGGACGGCAAACTCAACTCGAAAGCCCTGGTCTTGTGGTGCGCCCCCCCCCCCCCTAAACCCTGAACCCTTTAAAAACCCTAAACCCTGAACCCTAAAACCCTAAACCCCATGGCCTGAGATGTGAGGTTCCGCTTTGTGTCCTGGCAGTCAGAGAGCGGACTTGAGAGATTTCGGGGTAAGGGCTGAGGGTGTGGGAGTTTTAGGATGTGCCTACCGTAAACCCTAAACCCTAGACCCGAAACCCTAAACCCTAGTCGCCATTGTAGTTCTTCTTTTGCGTTACCATCCATGACTTATAGGATCCTAAATCCTAAATCAAGAGTTGGTTGCACCATGAAAAGGCACTACAACGTAACTATAGGTAGGGCTTAGAGGGTTGAGGGACTCAGAGACTCACGGGCTGTTTCCTACGCGTGTCGGAGTGTTTGGGGGTTGCAAGCTCTTTTCGATCGTAGTCTTGGGGGGGGCGGGGGTTCTATCATTGAGTTTACGGTTTACGGTTTTGGGTTTCTGTACGGATTCTATGAGGGCTTCTGTGCAGAGCTGTTGATTCTAGTGCTTCAGTTCTCCCTGCAGAATGCAAGGGTGACGGCTCCAATATGGAAGGCGAGACTGTCCCGAGACTGCTGTTCGGGGATTTTGAATATGTACTTATAGGCGCCTAAGTAGTTCCTTGTTGGGATTACCTTATAGGATTCTAAATATTAGCTACAAAAAGGAATTACTTAGGAGCCTATGGGTAGGTTTGAACACAATAAGCATAATGGGGGAACTCCGGGGAATCATCACTCACTATCCGGGGCCCTTTAGATGTTGGCATGCGGTTTAGGGGTAGCTTATGTAGGGTTGCGATATGCAGCTTACAGCTTAGGATTCCTTAAAGCCATTTACTACAGCGTAGGGCTCCATAGCCCATATAAACCCTAAATCCTCACCTTGAGCAGGCTTCAGCACCCACCCTCCATGTCTCCCTTGCTATGAAGTGCCCCTGAGTAGTAGCGAGCCTGCCCTCTCAAGCATCGCCTATGAACTCAAAACCGCTACTGCAGATCACCCCCGAAACATCCCAAAGCGTCTCAACGCCTAGGGCCTAGACCCCTAAACCCTAAACCCTAAAGGTCTACAATCCTACAGTTCCCGGCACGATTCTGCAAGCCCTGAAGCCCAAGTCTCCGAACCAAAAAGAGCCAGAGCCGGGCGCTGCACTCGACAAAAGCACCCAAAGCCCCCGAAGTCTCAGGAAACAGGACACCTTGATTATCATGGAATCCGATCCTTGTAGCCGGGCCCCTAAACCTTTAAACCCCAAACCCCAAACTCTAAACATCATTATTTAGAGCTTGCGCGGTGCAGGGCCCCTAAACCCGAAACCCTGTAAAAAAAAAAACGACCCGCAGTTACAGAACCTCTCCATTTTAAGAGAGCGTCCTCCTCAGAAGCTCGACCAAGGTCGCGAAGTCCCAGTGACTTTCCCAGAGTGGTCGGGGCAGTCTCCTGGAAATTCAGTAGGGTAAACCCTAAACCCTAAACCCCTAAATCCCTAAACCCTTTATATAGGGCAGTAGGGTAAACCCTAAACCCTAAATCCCTAAACCCTTTATATAGGGCAGTAGTGTAAACCCTAAACCCTAAAACCCTAAATCCCGTATATAGGATTTAGGAGCTAGCGTCTAGGCTTCATGAACTTAGACTCTCAATTCCAAAGGCTCAGACTCTAGGTCTTATTGTTACCTGGACCCCAAAAGTATGTAGAATAATGGCCTTTTTTATGGGTTTTGGGCCATTATTTTACCTACATTGGGGGGTTTTAGGTAGTTTAGGGAGAAAGGTCTGATGACACTTTGACTCGTTTGGGTTTGGGTCTTGGGGGTGTCCTGGAACTTACTTGGGGGAGGGGGGTTTCCTGTCTTTGTGCGTTGAAGTTGCCTGTTTCGTCTAAGGAGTGCAATAGGCTTCTAGTGCTTTAAGGGTTTCGATCTGCTGTTTGGTGCTTCGGCTTGCGGTGTTTAGGGCCTTATGAGCCTTGGGATTTGTACTTAGAAGGGACTCGATCTGAGTGCTCCACCAGGTTTCTATTCCGGCTTTCGGCGTGCAGGGGTGCAGGGTTCGGGGGTTCAGGCATGCTTGAGGTTTGGGGTCTTTGAAGTTTGACCCTCTGACAGACTCTAACATTGTCTGAGACCTTGGCATGGACCGGCATGAAATCTCCCAGCAAGAAGAACTAGAAAAGGCTTCTAAGATTCTAGAAAGCCACCGTACAAAGATCGTACAGAACTTTCTGTAGCCCCTAAACTTCCCTAAACCCTAAACCTGTCGCAGTAAAGCCCTTGTAGAAGCGTACAGCAACCTTAAACCCTTAACCTCAAACTTTCAAAGCCCTCGACCCCAGACCCTAAAACCCCAAAGCACCGCACTCTAAACGCTCTAAACCAAAAGCCCCAAACTTTTAGCACTCTACGCCCCAAGCCCGCATCCCTCGACCTTAAATGCTGAAATCCTTCAAAGCCCGAGCTTTAAACATATCTAAGCCCCAAACCGAACACCAAAACACTAAATCCAAATCCTTGAACCCCAACGCCTTAACCCTAAATGCCCCACTCCCCGAAACCTTAAACCCAGCTTCGGCATTCCTAAACCTTTGACAAACCTTACAATGCGTTGCGAAGCTTCATGGAGGCGGAGCCACACAATCCTAAACCCCCTAAACCCCTGAACCCCTAAAATCCTAAGCCCTTCACACCCTAAACTGACAATCCTAAGCCCTAAAGCCCCTAAATTACTAAACCCTGAACCCCTGAAGCCCCTAAACCCTAAACCCTAGAGCCCCTGAACCCTGAACCCCTGAAGCCCCTAATCCCTAAACCCTAGAGCCCCTAAACACCTGGCCGTGGGCTTCATTCTGGCTGCGCTGGAAGAGCTCCTTGGAAAGTACAAGGGTTGTGTAAGGATCTATAAGGGCGCGTATCAGGGCTGTAGGGCTTAGACTCTCTAGGGTTTAGGGTTATAGGGGCTATAGGGTTTCATAAGGGTTTGATCTGCTTTATTGTTTTTGTAGAAGTTGTTATGGGGTTAAAAGCAGTCTGATCATGAGGGTCTGTAAGGGTTCGCAGCTATACGGACTTTAGAAGGATTGAGACGGTCTGTGTAGGGCTTCATAGGTTGTATCAGGGTAGCTGCTGTGGCTCTTGAGTACATACGTACATACATACATACGTACATACATACATACATACATACATACATATCTACGTACGTACGTACATACATACATACGGTATACATGTACATGTATGTATATGTATATATATATATAAATATATATATATATATATTTGTGAATACATATATGTAAATGCATATATATAAACACACATGTGTATGTATGTATGTATGTATGTATGTATGTATGTATGTGTATGTGTGTATATATATATATACACATGTATATATATATATGTAGAAGTATAATCCAAAAGCAATGAACATGTTTATGTCTACATAACTATATAGATTTGTAAATCTGTGTTTGCGTGTGTGCTCACGCGCTGCTTTGGGCACTTCGCAGGTTGCCATGGTCAATGGTTTGTACGATGCAAGCAAGAACGGTCTTCTCGCCTATCCGGAGGACTCCACCGAATCGCTCCTACGCCCTAAACCCTAATCCCTTAGAGCCCTAAACCCAGAGTCCGGGGAAGAAGCTTTGCGCGCAGGATGGCACGAACAGAACCGAGTGGTTGCTCGAGGGTCCGCGGGTTCCCAAGTCTGAGGAAAGCTCGTGTATGCGGAGATGAGGCGATCACCTCTGTGCCTGAGGTACTCAGCGCAAAGCAAGATCTTGGTGGATCAGCAATTCTGGACTGCTGAGACAGAGAAGGCATGCCTTTTGGAATTCTGGAACATATGGAACACTCATCTTCCGCACAGAGCAGATTTCTTCCAACATTTCACACACAGACACACACAAGCGCGCACACGGGTGCGCACACACACACACACATGCACCCCTCGAAAGAGCTGCAGCTGCAATGAACAGTGACAGGTGGGGTGCCTCGCACACTTGACGGACACATCGAGTAGAAAAGGTTTGGGACTAGCGGCCCATCGCCACTTCTTGGGGTATCTTGTCATGGTGGCTACCCATCATTGTTTACATTTTGATAGCGCTTTTGGCCCGGCACTTCTTTGCCTGTCGAAAAGTGGAAAGCTTGAAGGTTTGCTACCATCACATGCAACCTTTTCGGGTTCAAAGTTGACTGCCCGTCGGGATGTCAGCCTGTCAGAGCTGAATGGCAGAGTTTGCAGTTATCATGCTGTGACAAATCATTATGATGGCGATTGATATGGGCTTTGGGAAAACTTTCAAGTCTTGCTCTATTAAGGTAGATTTCCCTAGGCGAGCATTGGAGTTTGCAAAAGGTCTAACGTCTTGCGGTTTATGTCCCTTAAGAGTTTTCATGGTGGCTGCCCAGAAAAGCTTACGGGCTTGCTGTTCCCGTCCGTCATTGATGAAGCGGTTTGGCTGCCGATGGCTGTTTTTCGGTTTCGGGAAATGAAAAGGTCGAGGGCCCAGTCTTGGCGATCCTTAGGGTTGTATGTTATCTGTGGCAAGTTTCAGTACCCAGCCTCAATACGACAAATAAACGTTTCTATGAGTTTACTGTTTGCTACAATCATAGTCTTTAGCGTTTAATGTCAGCTGCCCGGAGCAATTTCAGAGTTTATTGCCCTGGCGACTGCCGACCTGACCATAACACGTTTTAGGGTTTCAGGAAAGGTATACCGGTTTGCTACCGGGCGACTTTTCGGGTTAAACTTAGGAGCGGTCACGGTGGCTACCCATAGCGACCGTTGACGATCTTGGCTTTCAGGACAGTTTAAGTCGGGTTGCCACCAAACTTCGATTTCATGCTGGCTTTCCATCGTCGTGAGGGTTCCGGAAAGTTTAGGAGTTTGGGATTTGCCTCCCATGGCTCATAGCGAGTGCTTGGGGCCTAGGGTGTTGTATTGGCTACTTGTCTGACTTTCAGGGTTTCAGAAGAGGCTCTGGGTTGCCTTCAGGTTGCATGCAGGCTTTCCAGAAAGGGTGTGTGGGTTGGCTCCCTCAAGTTTGAGGGTTTCGTGGTTGCTGCTGGTCGTGACTCCAAGCTTTCAGAAAGGTTTCAAGGTTTGCTCTTCTCGCGGGTTTCAGGTTTAATGTTGTCTGCCCATCGTGACTAGAATTTGTGCCGAAAAAGTTCTGTGGCCTTGGAATGATGGTTGCCGCTGCATTTCTCAGTTTTTGTGCGGACTTGGAAAGGGTTTGGTTGCTCTTCGTCCCCTAAACCCAAAACCCCAAAACCCTAAACCCCTAAACCCTAAGCCCTAAGCCCAGTGTTTTCCAGGTTTCGGAGTGTCTCACCATCGCACGTTGCGGGTTTCGCAAGAAGCTTCGGGCTTCATTTCGACCTTCGGAGTCTGTGCATTTATGCAATAATTACTGTTGGTGATATAAGCCCTGCATTACTTTAAGGACCCTCAACTATGGGAATTATGGTGTATTCCTCATTATGGGAAAATGCAGGATGGATATCATCAGCGTATTTCCCTCCAGCTAAACGCACTGTATGATCAAAGTCAATCACTCGCTTCCATCACCACTGTTCAGGGTGTAGTCTTGGCAGTTTCTGCCCAGAGTTGCCATTTCGGGAGTTACAACGGAGGCTGAAGCTTTTCCAACCAGGGTGTTCCTCTTTGATTTCGGAGACTGTTCGCCGTCGGGCAGCATCGAGGATAAGGGGCAGCTCAGATGCTGTGGGGGGAACCAGTGTTGTTTTGCTGCAGTTTTTTCAAACCCAGGAAGCCAATGAGTGAACCCCGGCCTCCGGCACGACAGAGAAAGAAGCGTTCAGGGGACGACAGCAAACAACAAAACGACAGCAACAAAAACCCACTCCTGCCTCTGTGGGAGCCACAAGGCACAGAATCGCGCTTGCGGCGGGGGGCAAGGGATCTTTCACGTGTGTTGCAGTGATTTTCTGTATGCGGCACCAAAATTGTTGTATGTGCCTTCAAAACTAACATCAGTAGCTGTCGCTGAAGGCTGAATCTTTCATGTCTCAAGCTCTAATTTCTCTTGAGCTGTTTTTCGCCTGTTTCGGTTCAGCCCCTCCAACAATTTGCAGAGGTGCAAGCCGCACATCACGCAAACAAAGCTACGGCGATTGTGTTGGGACTCTGGGTTTTGCTCGTTGGGGGGAGGGTGTGTGTGGAGCCGGCACGTGCCCAAACGGCAAACTGCGTTTACTTATCAACAGGTGTTGAAAACAAGTGCACTGGTCGTTCTCCTGTGAAGTGTATACCCTGAGATACAGTCAACAGGTGTAGAGGCTGCCGAAGCGTGTGCTGCGAGGCTCTCTGCAAAATCGCCGCTGGCGATGTCTGCTGCTTGGAAGTGTCGAATGCCAGGGTCGATGACATTTCTGCCTCAGGATTGCCGTGCAGCAGTGCTTGCTAAAAGGCAAACGGCATGAAGGACAACATAGAGTTCCACAACCAGCAGCTGAAAAACAGCGTCAGCATCGTTCGGCAGCCTACGATTCTGCCCTTTGTTGTGTCATTGCCTGCTAGGACTGCTAGGACATGCCCACTCTCAGGTTCGCATGCAGCTCACAAAGAATCAGCGAGTCATTGTCTCGGCGAAACTCTGCTCCATGCACCAGAATTCCCCAAGAGCGACAGCTGGCCATGTTACGAGGTTCTGATGGGAGCGCTGATTGTCTTGGATGTCCGCTCCACAGCCTTCCGCAATGCATCTTCGACTTTTTTGTAGAGTCGAGTTTCAATGCAATAGGTCAATGAGCTTGCCTTCTTTGTGCACACAATCCGGCTTCTCGTGAACAGCAAAATGGACAAGCTTGCAGCCATCCAGGTCCACGGCATCACGGTGCTCGAGAACCTTATGGAAGCAGGCACAAACAGCTTGAATGCGACGTCCCCAGCAACTAAAGGGTTTCTGTGTTTGCCAGGGCAGAAAACCCTGTTAATTTTCCTTTCCTGCAGACTGTTCTTTCGAGGATTTCGATTGGAGCAAGCAGTTGCGCTACTACTGGGTGCCAGAGTCCGAGGAGGCCGAGTGTCAAATCTGGACTAGACTAGAACAGAGTGTATACTATACTAGACCATACTGTGCCATTCAGTACGTGCAATACAGTGCAATATTTTGCTGTACTATACACTATATACTACATGCTACGTGCTATATACTAAGTACTGCATATCATTACTATATACTAAGTTACTATATACTATATACTTTTAATCTCTACCATATGCTATATACTATGTACTCAAAACTATATACGGTATACTGTTTACTATTTACTATGTGCTATATACTATATACTATGTACTATATACTGTATACCAAATACTATATACTATATCACCTTTACTATACGTTCTATACTGAATACTAAGAACTACATACTACAGGCTATGTGCTGTTTTGGCTTCTGTTTTGCTTCATACTATATACCGTATACAAAATACGTTATATACTAAATATATACATATATATATATACTATATACACTATATACACTATATACACTATGTACACTATGTACACTATATATACACTATATATATACACACTATATATACACTATATACACTTTCTACCCTATGTACTATATGCTGTATACTGTATGCTGTATACTATGCTACACTGCACTATACTACGCTGCACTATTCTCTATTGTACTGCACTCTACTTTTCTTTGCTGTACTGTACTACACTATACGGCATTAGATCACAATTTGGAGATGTCTGGAGAGAGGTTCTGAGATCCTGAGTGGCAGGTGGAAACCTCCCTGATCAACATGGTCTCGGATGACTGCGCTCGGAGTCTCAGCATCCGTGGTGCAACTTCATCCTGGTCGTCTGAGCCAGTCATCAGGAAAAGCCGGTCATCAGGAAAACTGCAAAGCTTCTTCGGGTTTAGGAGATTGCAGCACTGCTGCCATGACCAGCATAGGACATTAAAACCAGTAGAAGCGAACACATTGCACAGTAAATGGGGTATACAGGCATGAAGGTCCGTCAATCATGGTTTCAACAGCGTAAGTGCCGACAATCGTCACATTCGTGTGCGACTTCCGCATTTGTCAGTGGCTTGGAATGTGATTCGCGAGGTGTCCCTGCAACGCGTAGCTAGCATTCGGCTGTATAGAGCTTGTCCGACCTTGCGCGAGCCTTGGCGAGGTCTGCCGACAAACCATTGCCTGCTTCAAGTACTCGTACGAGTATCTGGGAAACACTCCCCGCTTGGCTGGGGCCCTGTGCGACATTCGTGTCGATCAGGTGTTTTGTGAAAGTCTGTGCGGTCCTAAATTAGGTTGTCACACCCTTGACCGACAAGTGCTACATGACCTTGACAGGACAGTGGTAGAGACTGGTCGTAGCACTACGCCTGCAGCTTACTGCTTTCCTGACAATTACTTGAGTCGAAGGCGCAATGCACTTAAATTATGGTGGCGCACCCGCTGGTCCAGCCGGCACAGGACTGACAGGAATGCGAGCAAGCCCTTTGCACAGAGCCTGAAGCTTTCTCCTTGGAAGGAAAGACAGAGACCACAAAGGACTTGGGTAAAGCCCTGGCTGTACCGGTCGTGGTGTTCAACTGTGCCTCAGATGCCGTTATCAGACTTTTACAGGATAGCTTGTTTAGAGCCTGGAGCGCTCAATGAGCTGCGGCCCAGCTGAGGTTCCGATGGCCTCGACTACAAAATCATGGGCCGCTTCTTTTCAGGTCTTGCCCAAGCAGGAGCATGGGCCTGCTTCGACGAGCAGCTCCGGCATGTGTTTCAGAAACATGGTCCCTCGAAGGATTTTCGGCGTTTGTGTGTGGAGTTCTGATTTCAGCCAGGTTCAATCGCATCCAGGTCGAAGTCCTCAGCGTGATTGCGCAACAGATGTTGACAGTGACACAGGCTGGCATCGTCCGAACTGTCATGCATCTCATTGTGCCTCGTACTATCTGGCACGGCAAGCATGCTTTCCTGGAGGCTATCCGGCAGCGAAAAGAAGTTTTCGAGTTTCTTGGCAACGAGATCCCTTTGAATCGACGCTTCGGGGACCGTGCCTGAGCAATGGGCTGGATGTCTGGAAGGACTGGTTTCAGGTCTTGTATGTTGGCTGTGCCCAGGTCTACATCACCATGAACCCTGGATATGCCGGACGAGCTGAGCTTCCGGACAACCTCAAAGCGCTCTTCCGCCCAGTCGCTGCGACCTTGGTCAGAAGGAGATCGCGGATCAAGGGATTCAGGGCCGGCACTGGCCGTAGTTTTGCATGTGCGATATTCCGTCACGCCCGCGGCGGAGGGACTCTCTCTCTCTCTCTCTCTCTCTCTCTCTCTCTCTCTGTCTTGACACTTGGGTGAAGTTCAACTTTGACGTCAAGCGAGGCCATGATGGTGCCAGACTACGGGCTGATTGCCCCTCGCTCGCATTGCCCCTCTCCTCGCTCCTTTCTCCTGGCGTGTCCCTCTTCAGGCAGAGATCATTCTGTATTCAGAGGGTTTCAATGCGGCCAAGATGCTTGCAAGTGACCCAGCCGCTCTCTGCTGCAGTTCCGAACCATTTTTCCGCTAGCTGCTGGCCTCTATCAGGCTCGGAAGATGGTGAACCTCTATCGGCTTTCCTCTGAGCAGCTTTCGAAACAGGATCACTATGACCGGCACTCAGACTATGTTTGAGCCTGATTGTGTGAGTCATTTATGCATTTCAGCAGTGTCGCAGCCCCTTGTTGACAATGTAGCTTGGTTATCTGCAAAGTTTTCGCTGAAGGCGATGGAAGCTGTGCACCAGCCTCGAATTCTCCATAATATCCTTATACCCCTGCAAGCTCCCAAGCATCATCTCACCTCGCATCACTGTCTCTGAGCCCTGGGTTTCCTTTTTGTTTCTCCATCCTAGGCTTTCTCGCAAATCGTGCATCGGACTGCGTCTGACATGCCTGACGACATCACAAGCACGGCTCAACCTAAACGTCCCTGAACTTGGACAAGCAGAGCAGAGTCTGCCAACGGCGCCACATTGTCGTTCTCGACCAGTCTTTGCAGAGCTTCGAAAATGAAAAACAGCCGTCGCCTTGCTGCTCGCCTTTCGAGGCGACACCCTAAGGCACATGCGGCATCGGAGCACATGCTCAGTTGCCATACTAGTAGGTTCTGCAGTTCTGAAAAGCGAGGACAGTATTGGGCCAGGCCTCAGCATCATTTTAGTCGCCTGGCAGACTTGCATCGGCCATTTCGCAACAACTCATAGCACGCGTGTTGTTCGGATGTACAGAAGCAGGGTGCCACTCCGTTCAGAAAGTGAAAGATGCTTACTCTGTTGTTCCCGGTCCTATATGCCGACGTGAGCCAAAAGCGACAAACAGCGGTCAAGCATGCGTAAAGGACGGCCCGCCAACAGCGCAGCTCGTTCCAGACTACCCTCGACTCGTATGACGTCTTAGCTGCTCCGACTGTCTGAAAAATCCCCAGATCATACACTTTGTAGCTGCCAACGAAACGACTTGAAGCGAGTTTGGCGAATGCCGTCTTACCGAGGATTTTGGCATGCGAGCCGTCTCTCTGGCTGCTTCAAAGCGGTTCCACAAGTGCATTCGTCGCAGGGTTTGACAACTCTGCCAGGTGAAGTCAGTTCTGGTAATGGCTGGACACCTCAAGCGCTTTCTTCTCAGGTCATTTTTCCGCGTGGCACATGGTTTATCTTGCGATGAGCCTACTTCTGCATTCCAGGCCAGAACCCAGATCTGGAAGAGAATGTGACGCTCATCCGCGCCCTCCGTGATTCCAACGCACCCAAGCAAAATCCTCAATTGCTGCTTCGTTCGACATTGCTTTGCAGTAGCTTTTGTCGACAGTTTCCTCAACTCCCCCTCGCATGACAAGTCGCAAGAAAAAGGTATGGGATCTACATCCGTACTCGTTTCGAAACCTCCCTCTGAGCTCACATATGCATGGGGAGCATGGTGTCTTGCGGGTGCCTTGCAATGCCCAGGTTCCTGTCTTTCGATCTTCCGCTTTTCAGTGGCATTATCTCAGACTTGTACCCTGATGTTCTGGCCTCGGCTGTTTTACAGGGACGGGCCTGATGTGCAAGCTCGTCCCGACAAGGTGGTCATTCCAGATGTGGACTATGGAAAGTTGAAGACGGAAATCGAAAACCAGTTGCGCTTGGTCAACTTGCAGGTCCTTTGACTTGTGGATTCGAGCTCCCTGCCGTCGCATTCGCTTATGGCTTCTTCATTGCTTGCATGTGAAAAGGTAGTTCCTTCCTTCCTGACCAAGATCACGCAGCTCCTTGAGACACAACTTGTGAGGCGCATGTTTTTTACTTGACCATACCGCGTGGTGATGCCGTCAGCCAGGCATGGCGTCATGTTGGTGGGCTTGACGATGACGGGGAAGTCCACGAACTCCAACATCCTGGCAAAGACTCTTACGCAGCTGAAGAAGGCGCAGCTGTTGTCCGCGAGGTCGAGATGTAGAGGCGGGTTTTCTTGTGGGTTCTACTGTAGCGCTGTCAGAGAGGACGGTTCGACGGATCCGGCCCACCAGCTCACCAAGATCTTCTTCTTGAATCCCAAGAGCCCGGCTCTCGGGGCAGAGACCGGCAGAGACGAACGAACAAAAACACGCGTTGGGCGTGTCAAAGGTATCACCATCGAGGAGCTCTACGGGTCCTTCAATGAAAACACAGGTGAGTGGAAGGCCGCTCCGGAGCCATCGGCGTAGAGCATCTGCGTTTATTTGCCTTCCGCGGGAGAGGACGGCCTGGTGGCGATCCTGGTCCGCGAAGCAGTCAGTGACACGTCAGACAACAAGTGCGATACTTACAAGTACTGACAATTGGAAGCACCGACCGTTGTGTTGGAGCCAACATGGTATGCTTCTGTGGAGGAAATGGGTGAATTTCGATGGCCCAGTTGATGCGATCTGGATCGAGAACATGAACACAGTGCTGGATGACAACAAGAGCCTCCTTTGAAAAAGGAGAAGCGAGTTGAGAGGTTGGATTCTTATCTGATCTTCGAACTGAGGATGTTGTGCCTGTCCAATGGAGAGCGGATCAAACTCCCTCCAAGCATGACCGTGATGTTCGAGGCCAGTGCGCAAGCAAGTGGAACAGTTTATGAGAGTAGGCAAATTTGGAAACACATTCCGAAGACTGGAACGCGATGAATCACGAGATCAAAAGGGCAGTTCACCGTTCAGAGGTTCTGTTTTCAATCACGGAACGAAGGCGTGCGTATTTCCTTTAGTCCTCCACGTGTTGGGGCACGGGCGGCATGTGCAATGTGTGTGGTGCATGTCATGCATGTAGTGTGATAGAGTGCAGGTAGTCTATGCCATGCCAGTCATGCACGGCTTGCGTGACATCATGCGACACTGAACTTAACCGTTTAACATCTGTGGTTCAGGTACTGACTGAGCGTAGTGAGGTCTTATGGAGAGGTTTTTGTAGTGTGCACCAGGAAAACGTAGTATGTGATGCAGCTCGTGTATGTACTGCATATGCAGGTATGCAGTTATGTATCATGTGCAATGTGTTCGTTCTATTCGTAATATGGTGCATGTAGTGTATGTAGCCTCATGGTGTATCTACTGTATATTTGCGATATCCAGCGGATGGAGAAGCTGCATTCCATCTGTTGTGTCTAGTGGAATGCTGTTACGTATGACATGCACGGTGTACTACTCTGTGCAAGGTTACGGTCTTACAAGGCACGTAGTGATAGAATGGGCATTTGCGGGGAGTGGTGGATGAGCAAAACTCCGCTGGTAGACTTGCAGGTGAACGATCTGGCAGTAGCATCGCCTGCCACGGTGAGTAACAAGCTCAGCTGTTCTTCAAGCATCGCACGTTCATGCATGCCATGCAGGAGAGAACTGGGTGCCGCTTTTGACGATTGTTGCGTCTTTAAGGCCGATGTGGCATGGTTTACCTCGAGCCGGTTCACCTGGGTCACTGGCTGAGCTTGATTGGTCAGGGTTTCAGCCTAAGGGCAAGGCGACGATGTCTATGCTCGGCTCAGAGCCAACTCTTTCCAGATGTTTGAGGTTGGAAGCCGCTCATCCAGACATGGGTGGAAAAGCGGGTCCCCCAGCAAGGGCTTGCGTGTCGACAGTTCATCAGGTGCTGGGCTCACTCCGAAGCGGTATCTGTGCATGCCATACAAGCGATGTGTTCCCGATACCCCGTCTGATAGTCACTATGATCGATTGCAACTCGCTTCTTCAGGGCTGGGAGTGGGTGAGTAGTGAAGAAGGTAGTGTCGAGCATGCTGCTCTGACGGTTTAGGGTTTAGGCTTTAAGCCCCAAGCAGTAAAGCTTGAACCCTATCAGGTGTAGAAGGAGGGAGCCGTGGTGCACCAAGCATGAGGATGGGTAGCACTTTTGAAATTAATGATTTTGTATGGTGTTTCTTGGAAGTTTATCGTTACATTTAGAAGCAACATGTTATGAAACTGTATTAGACGATTTTGTATTATTTTGATATAAATATAGATGATAGATGTGTGCTTGTCTAGGGATTTAAGGTTTAGAGCTTATAGGGATTAGGGCTTACAGGCTTTGGGGTTAAGGGTTTAGCGTGATAGAGGTTCATATGGTTTAGGGTTTTAGGGTTGAGCCCAGTCCCGTTTTGGGAGCTTCTCTTGGAGAAAAGAGCCATGCTTCGTTGTCCTATATCTGCTGTCGCACCACCCTTCGCGAGGCTTGCTCATCAAATTTGACAGAATGTTGGGCTTTTCGTATTTCGTGTAGCTCTAGCAATCAGCTAATGTCTCACACTTTTGTGTTGGAATCTGTTGCGTTTGGCTTCGTCTCGGAGCCGCTGTCCGTGTTTTGCCTGCCCACTGTGCTTGATGTTGGCTGTTGCCTCGCTACATACTAACGTCGTCGCTTCGAAGCCTTGCTTCCGTTGTGTACTCACATCTTAAAAGTCTCAATCAGTTCTTCGACATCTATGTCATGGATTTTTCTGGTTGGCCTCTGCCTTGTGCTTTGAGGCCCACATAGCACATGCGGGTTTGGTGGTTTTGTGATCGGCTGAGGTTCCAGGTGAAGTTCCCGGAGTTCGCCAAGGACATCGGGAAATGGGCAACATCCGTCTGCGAAGAGGCCATGTCACACGACGCTGTATGGAGTCCACGTCGGAGTTGAGTGTTTCACACCTTTGTCTGCGAGCTTGGATGTATACTGTGTCTACCTGGATGCAGGCCCTCCCGTACATTCGGGAAGAGTGCCAGGAAGCTCCTGGAATACCGAGCATGGATGCAAACCTGGTGCAGGACGGTCGTCTGTCGAACTTTTCAATGATGCCTTTGAGCCAAAACTGTGCAGGCTTACCTGAGAATGCTAACTGCATTCATCTCGGAGCCCCATCAGCTCGTGCCAGAAGGTCTGCTGCCCAGTGTTCCCTCCAATCTGACTCTGTCACATCTCGGTTCAAGCCTCCCGGACATGTCCGCGTGTCATGACGTCGTGATTCTCCTGTATATATCAGGGGAAGGCGATGTAAAAGGTCGGGGTGTGGCCTTCACTGACGCCTCTCCCGGCACCACCGCGTTGGTAGCTCAGCCCTCGCCAGGGGCTGTTTTTAACGGGTAAAAGAAAGGGGTGCGTTGGAAAGTGACGGGGCGGCTCACAAAACAGCAAGACACAAAACGTAGCGGCGTAGTGTGTCAAAGGCCCCGCTGAAGGCTGCGGGCAAGGAACGCGTGGTGCCACAGCCAAGGAATCCGACGATTTTCAGTATGACCGGTCGCTGTGTGTTGTGTGGACTTCTGAAGCACATCAAAGAAGCCCCATGGAGTCCTGCTGGTGCGACAGAATCCCCTCGAGATTCAACATGTTATGCGCCTGCCAGAAGCCGAAGCAAGAAAGCCAGGATGCTGCCCAGCATCACTTCGTGACAGCGAGCAGTTCCGGCTGAACACTTGCAATCGCGAGCCGTGAAGCTGGCAAAACCTTCCAAAGATTCAGACGTGGGTGTAGCGCTAGCTCGAAGGCTTTCCGCATTCGCACGATCCTTGCAAGAACTCGCCCTCTAAACCAAACCGCCACGATTCCTCCTGCGGCCAGCACCACGACGCCTTCATAACTTCATCCTGCTTCCCAATGGCCTCTACTGCTCGATGCCCGATTGCGCAAACCTGACGAAGAAACAAACACACACACACACATGTTTGAATGACGAGCTCGAACATGGATTGTAGTGTTGATACAGACTGTTGTGAAATGTGTCTCCCAGGACCTAAGTCTCGCAGGACTTCAATGGTGTGGTTGCTTCTCCAAACGGTTGCCTCCCTGACGGCCTAGCTGGCCATGGTTCAACTCTTGCTGTAACATCCTCTCTGTGGTCGTCGTGCTGTGTTTATGCTGTTTTTTCCAGTCTATTGAGGTGACGGAGCCAAGCCGCTGAAGGCTGACGAGGATGCGAAGAAGCTGGTTCGAATCTACACGGTGCTGCCGGCACAGCTTTCTTGCCTCTTCCAGCCGGTGCCCGTGTCTCAGCCAGGCGATGTCCGCCATCTGGTCTCTTGGAGCGAACCTCCACGAAAACTCGCACCGGGCTGAGACGCGGCAAGAGCGAAGCCCACCATGCACAGTAGAGAGGCTTTAATGGCTTCAAGCAAAGAAATGCCGCCCAGCGGGCATTGTCGCGATGTGCAGCTTGCTGCATGTTCTGCTCGTCGACGTTTCTCACACGGAAAGCGGTTGTGAACAGCTGGGTCGGCAACAAGCATGTATGCAGCCTGCCCGCGGCTTTGCTTCGGTTGTTAGACTGGAAGCTGGCGACATTCCGCACATCCGAAACACCGGTTTGAACCAAATCCTCTATGAGGTGCTTGTTTTCGCACTTCCTTGGCGGTACATCCCAAAGCATAACTCTCCGAAATGTCTACACAGCATCAGCTATGCCAGCAACACCCGTGAGTGTTGCAGGCGATCCAAGTTTGTCGCCCGGATTCGACCGCGGCTTCAGCTGTTCTGTCCAGAGGCCTGGTCCATTTCCCGATGTCCTGTCCAACGATATGAACTATGTGGAAATGTCAGGTTCCGGACAGTGGTGATCTCTACATGACCCATCCTCAGAGTGTGTCCTTTAACTCTTAAGTGGACAGACATCAGGCCAAGGTTTGCCTAACCCAAGTTAGATGCATCGAAAAGGTTGGCCGTCAACGACGATGATGGAAGAATCCATCCGCTCGCCGACATCGTCCCAACATTCAATTTTAATCCGCAGGAGCCGGGGACTCATTCCGTCCACAGGTCCTATGCCAAGGGCTCTCTCCCCTTCAAGCTCTTCTCGCATCAGCTGCAAGGCCTTTCTTCAACATCTTGGTCAATACTCCCGAGACCGTTGGGCAACGAATGCTGGCCGGGACCCATTCATCAGTGTCAGAAGCAGCAGGAGCTATAAGATCTACAAGAGGATGTACCATGTACTAAGGTTGAAAACTTGATGGCGGCGAACTTCAACGTGCTTTTCTCCGGAGAGACAGGCTTCATGCTCTGACACTGCTGTCCCATTTAGACAATGGACAGCGGACATGCCAGGTGTTGGCAAGTCGGTTGTCATCCAGCAGTTCCTGAACACGGCCGGACGCTGTGCGCGTATCTGGGAGTTCCTGTTCATAGCTTACATGCCACATATGCAGGCGGGCGAGCTCTTTGCAACCGCAAGTGCCAACTTCAGCGCCCAAACGAGCACTGCTAATGTCGGTGTCTTAAAAGACGAAGGACAGAGCAAAACGAAGCGGAAGTGTCATTTGGCCAAGCCGAGGTTGTGGACCAATTTGAGAACCGGCTCGAGCGGAAGCGCAAGACGCTGCTGGGCGCTCCTCCGGGCACCACGATGTGCGTCCCTCAGCATTGTGCACTGGATGCCATTGCTGCTGTGACCAGTTCGTTCAGCTCTGTGATTTCACGGTAGGATCTTTTTCGTGGATGATGTCAACATGCCCATGCTTGAGCCAGTTGCTCAGCACCGCCAACCTTGAGCTGTGGCTCATAGTTCTGCATGCCAGGTTTTATGGTGCCCAGCCTCCAATTGAGCTACTGCGACAGGCCTCCAGTGCCTGTTAAGGCTGACTTCTGAAGGTGCGAGAACGCCTCTAAAGTCTCTAAAGATGCGAGGTGATTGACTACGGCGGCTTTTACGACAAGAAGAAGCTTTTCTGGCCAGGGACCATGCCGGACTTGAGCAGCCCATGGTATCATCCTTGAGCTCTGAGGAAACAGGTGGCTGACACTCAATTCATCTGCGCTTGCGGCCCACCTGGTGGAGGCCGCATGGCCGTGACGCCCAGGCAGGGAAAACGGAAACCGCTGGAAGGCTGGAAGCGACAGTGCATGGCCGCATGGTCTGCTGTAGGCTGTTCCGCCACTTCAACATGATCTGGATCCCGGTACACCACTCAACACAAGCTGACCTGAGTAGCATTGTGATACAATGTGCGCCACACATCGTGCGTAGCGGCGCTTGGCACCCCTCTGTGTGGGGATCACCGAAGCTTGAAAACTATTCTCCCGTCGAAGCTCAGCTCATATACATATACATATATATATATACACATGATATGTCACATGTATATGATACATGAGGTATGTTGTATATATACAAACATATATGTTATATATATATATATGTGATATGTCATATGTATATATGTATGTATGCATGTATATATGTATGTATGCAAAGGTATAGATAGATAGATATAGATATAGATACAGATATAGATATAGATATATGCTCCCGTCGAAAGAGCTCGGAGTCGTGGCCATCTTGGGCTCCCGGGTGAGAGGCTCCAGAGGATCCCACAGTCTCCTGCGAGCAGAGCTCTATCTTCAAACTCGGGAGAGAATGGCCGGGCGGGTGTTGGAAACGGAGCCGAGAGTGACAGGAGGGTTGCAGTCGATCCTCATGTTTCTGGAAGATGCCGGTTGGCGGAGACTAGATGCCGGCTGCAGATGTCGAGGGAGAGCGTCGCGTACTGAATTCCGGATTGACAAAGGATGACATCTAGTGAATCTAGTGCCCAGATTTTCAAAGAGTGGGAATGCACAGCTGCACGGCACAACACCTCAACTGAGGCTTTATCCCAGGATGCCATGCAACGAATCCTTTCCAGCATCCTAGGCTGGCGCTGTGTGTTGCTTTCTTGCTGCCCAAGCACTGACACTTTGAAAGTCAAGCACTGGGACTATGTACTTGCCTCTTTGCATTGGCTTGGGCACATCTGGCTGATGCCGGTTTGTGCATGCTACATGTCCGGACGATAGAAGCAGTAGAAAGCCAGCTGGTGATCTGTAGCTTCCAAGCTTCAAGCTTCCGGTACTCATCAGCCCAAGAGATGCTAGGACTGTCATCCTTGCTAGATCTTGCTAGATTATTTTTACATTTACCATAGCCATAGCATTGCATCGTCCGGCTTGCGAAAGGGAGTCTCGTGCTGCACGTGGCTTTGCAGGGTGTTCAATCCTGTTCAAGATTGCAAGAATCGTTGTCTGAGCAAATGACCCAGGAACAGGTCGTGATGAACGGCGGCGGACCTTGGTACGGTTCAAATTCAGGTAGCTACAGTGGAGGCGGCAGTTTTTGACGGAGCACTGGTGCATTTTTTCCACGCATGTCTTGACGATCGCAGATGGTGGGTTCGGCGGAGACTATGCATCCGGCAGCTATGGGTACGGAGGCTATGGCAATGGCTATGGTGACTCCTGGGAGGGAGGCAGCCCCGCAGCATCCGAGAAATATGTGTCGGATAGATGGGTCATACCTTCCTGCCAAATAAACACTAGACATGTTTTTGGTTTTTGCATGCACATGTATACAATATGTATAGTATAAGTTTGCATGCAAGCAGAACCGACCAGACGATCGGACGTTCTAAATCGACGTGATTCTTGCAAAATTGGACGATTGGACATTGTCCGTTCAGGGATGACGGCTTGCAGGCGTGCCATTCGGGCTGGCGTTTCGGGCTTTGTTTTTTCTTTGCGCAGGCTTTGTGTGGTTTTAACGGTTTAGGGCTTAGAGGATTTGGGGATGAAGTTGTATGTATGTTTGTCTGTGTATGCACATAGCCAACACACACAGACCCAGATGTTCGCATGCATTTGTGGAGCTTGCGTAGGTACCTGTAGAGATCTATATCGGCCTTGGTTCCTGCCTGATTCTGTGGCAGGAAAGGGCATGAAGGGTGCAGGCAAAGGTGGTGGAAAGGGTGCAACGATGTGCCTCTCTGCTGCATCTAGCCGTCCAAACCTGCGGACAAGTCCATGAGCCAACATGGCCCCTGTTTCGCTTTGTTCTTCTTCAACAGCTAGTCCCATTATTTTGCAGATACCGGAGACTATTCGTCCGGCAACTATGGCTACGGAAGCTACGGCGATGGTTATGGTGACTCCTGGGAAGGAGACTGCGCTGCAGTAGCGTTTGGGAGGGTGGTGAAGACTTGATTCCATTCTGTGTTTTGATGTGGATGGATAAATTTGCATTAACTTGACCCGGCGGCTTTTATGGCCATGTTTGGCGCTGCTAGCGTCAGCAGCTGTCCTGTCAAAATTGGGAGGCCTTGGGATTCGTTCTGTTTGGGGAGAATTCGACAAGAGCAGCTGGTACCAGTAGGGTTCTTGTAGCTTGCCCCTCAAGTCAGGGGCTTGAGGATCTGGGGTTTAGCTTCCGTGTTGAAGGGTGCTCTAACCCAAGTCCGGTTGGAGCAAACAGTTTGAAACGTTCAAGGCCCCTCCGCCTGCCTGGTGCTGATTATGTGGAGCACAATAAGCTTCGATTCGAGTTTCAGCGGATTTTCGGATCTATCTTGACATAGTGATAGTATCTCGGACACTGCGGACACCAAGACAGATGTACAAACAAGAAGAAGCACCAAGAAACCGGCAGGAAGTTGTTTGGTAGTGTTGGCATTTCGGTTTGCATTGTCCTTGCACCATTCCTTTGTTTGTGGTATGTCTATTGTCGTCTTCTTCAGTCGCAGAGGCCATGAACATGATCAACGTCAATGCCCCAAAAACAACCTAACATATCATAAGCACCAACTCTAACTCATGGTTCAACGCCACGTTCCTTCAAGCCAAAGCTTTGCCATCTACAATCAACTGAGCAGCACAACACTCCTTTGGAATGGAGATGAAGTACGGAACGAAATAACGTGACCTTGCAAAAAGCAGTTTCAGGTATTCTGGTGAAGAGTAGAATGACCTTGGGCCTGCTGTATGCTTTCAGGGAAAGATTTGAATGCCAGGCCTGTCACAATGTATGTATCACGAATCGACCGTTCGTGCTCGTGTGGTAGTAGCCCTCGCTGGAACCAACGTGGTTGCTGCGTGCTGTAGATGTCATTAGCAGATGAATGGTTTTCGCTGCTGAGCACAATGCTAACTGAGGCAAGTTCTACATGCAGGGAAACCGTGGTGATACCTACTCTCATGGCGATGGTGGTTCTGGAAGCAAGGCTGGAAAGCGTTAGCAGAGACTTGAAAGAATCATGTTCCTCCACTGCTGCAGGACTGGTCATGCGCGACTGCTCCTGCACAGAAGTCTGCCATGTGTGACCTGTCTTCAACTTCTTGGGCCTGGGCATCAGGCCATGCTTACACAATTTGAGCGTTCCGGTTGTCGTCCCTTCAGCTTGACATGACACTCAAAATCTTTCTGCAGCACGAGCGCGACGACCGATTCTTCATGATCTTGTGAATAGAGGTCCCGGCTACAACGACTGGGGAAATGATTGGGACGCGCAGGACTGGTTGATGGGCAACTCACGCTGTGAGTGAAAGGTTCTTGGTGGGCATCTCCGTTTGGAGCTGATGGCTTTGCGCTTGTTGGTTAGCCGACCAAACTCTAGCCGCTAAAGCATTTTTCCCGAACAGGTCTGAATAGGTCTTTGACCCGAGGGGTCGGTGTGGAACAGCATGGTGTGCTGAAGCGGGACTGCACCGTGAGACAAGCGTGTGCACAGCACATGGCCTGGCACATGTCGTGGTGGGAAATATAGTGCTAGCACGAGGGGCTATACTGAGATGCGTTGGACATGCCATGCATTCAATTGTTGTCGCTGTCTAGTCTACTTCTTCATGGCAGTGGCGGTGTTGCCTTCGATATAGTGGCAAGTTTCATTGCGCTAGGCCCGTCCACTGCATTGGGAGAACTGCTTTGCGGCTGCAAAGCCACAACAGACTTGGAGAGGACATGATCCCACACCCAACCCTGCGAGCTCACTCTTTCCACTGCGCCCGACCAGCCTCGCAGACTATCGTCACTCTTCCAATACTTCCGGTATGATTTGGTTGTAGTCCATCTCCGTGAAGTCGTCTCTATCCACAAGGCAGGACGAGCAGCACAGCGAGGTGGGGTTGTCAATCACCCGTGTGCCATATGCAAGTCCGGTGCCTGCACGTTGTTTGTCGCAAAAACTATCTTGCACTTTTGCGTCCTTGAGAGTCCGCCGTGAGCGGTTGCTTCTTTGTTCCAACTGTCGCTGTCGTCGCTTCTTGACGGTTTCTGCTGCAACCGGTGCCATTGCTGGTGGTGTTACAGCTGCCGCAACTGCAGCTTGTCGTTGCTACGGCTGCCGCTTCTGCTGCCCCTGCTGCTGCTGCTGCTGCTGCTGCTGCAGCATTCTTTTGGTTCTGCTGTTTGCTGACAGCAGTCGCCCGCCCAAGGACTCACGACGGTCTTAAAGTTGGATCCTGGTTCGCTTGTTGGTTCCTGAACTATTGACCCTAACAGCATCGGCAAGGACGCATCCGCGCAGAGGCGGATGGATCGCAAAGACCGTGACGTCGAAGAAGAGTTGCTGGCAGAAGAGATGGAAGAGATGGAGCGCATAGACCAAGTGCCCTGACTGCACAATCGTGTTGTCGCAGTTCTCACGTGATCCGATGAATCTCAGGGGCAGCGAGACAATGACAACGCAAGCGAGGCCGTGCTTGTCTTAGCCGGTCCGAGCAGTGGAGGTGAAATGCACTATATTATACTACATTATATTATATTATATTATATTATATTATATTTTATTATATTTTATTTTAAAATATATTTCTGCCGATCCTTTCGTGGGCCAAGGGCAGCGATGCTTTGCCACCACCAGCAACAGAGGGGGAGATTCAAGAAGCCCGGGAGATTTTCAGGAAAGCGCAGGCTCGCAGAAAAGGGCGAATTCTTCCTGCTTTTGCACACGGCCTTGGCATGTAGTTGTGACGGAGGAAGATCTCAAAGAGCGCAACCGGATGAAGGCCGGTGCTGCACCGCGCAGCTGTTTGGGTGCAGAATCTATGCTGACCCAGGAAATGGTCAAGGGTGCGAACCAGAGTGATCTACAGGCAAAGTTCATGTCGTTCGTATCAGTGACATCCAAGCGACCTGGCCATGTGGTTTGAAGGCCATGATCAATGCACGGCTGGCCAAAAGGTAAGGGCTCGTGTCCGAGCTTCTGCCATGCCTTTGGTGCCTCGAATTCTCATGGCCTTCAGACTTCAGGTCTGGCAGACATACAGGCAGCCCTCGGCGTGGCAGCTGCTCATTTGTGGTAAGCTCAGCATACATGACGGCATGGAAGGCTGGTCGAACTGTTGTGTGTCGGAGGACTCATCTGTGCTTGCAGTGATCGTCGCAAAATGATCGGTCAACACTGCTGTGGGGAGGAGCCGTTCAGAATAATCTCAATTTGCATCCACTGCCCGTGGTGGTGTAGCTGTTCGCTTCGAAGATGCAAAGAGTAGGACAACTGGCTAGGGCCAGGGCCTAAGGTGTTGCTTAACTAGGAAGTGGATGCACCCGTGATGCTGAATCCTTAGCACCCGGAGTTGACAACGCACGATGCAGGTAAGAGTTTCGATAGGAAGCCTGGACAGATGTGCTCCAAGCTGCGTCAGATCAGGTTGGAAAAAGTTGCAGACAGATTTCTGAAGCCTGCTTTGGTCTTGCTAGTCTCGCACTTGTGTCTGCACAGAGCCTTGAGGATTTGATGCTGTTAAGCACTGCAGATCTGTTAATCTCTGGAATGCAGGTGGCTGGCTCGGTGTCAACAAGCCGGACCTGCAGGAGCTTTCGGTTCCAGTCATCACCGCAACAGCTCCTCTGCAAAAGTGGAGCCGTTGAGCGTTTCCTCTGGGACCGAAATGGGACTCCCATTTGACGCAGCAAGTGAATTCAGGTGAAGATGTTCTTCCAGATCTCAAAGGACTTGCTACCGACACCGGTGAAATGCCGTGGCCATACGGACAAGGTCGAGCATGTGCCCAAATCCCTTCGCGTTTCAGGTCATTACACCTTCAATCTTCGCGACCCCGCAAAGATGGTGCAGGCTCCACCACGTGACTAGCCCTTCCGGATTCTTCAGCAAACAGCTTCTGTCCGTGACGCCTGCAGGGGATGCTCATGGTGGATGTGAAGACCTCGCTGAAAAGCAACCAGGAGAACCTGCGCCCACAATGGCCGTACCATGCATGATCAGAGGTTTAGGGTTTAGGGGTGGCAGGCAGCATCCACTTTGTGATGTCTTGAACCAGACAGATTGCTCGTACGAGGCACCCCATAGTTAGGGATGCCACTAGACTACATTACAGCGTGACGGGGATGATATAGGAACCGATTTGCACATGGCAAGAGCAAGACAAGAAAATAATGACTGCAGAGCGCCTGTTTCCCTTTCAGCTCCTATCTGAAGGAATCACTAGCAGCATTTTGTAACTTGGCAATCCCTACCCCACTACGTGTAGCATTAACATATCTGTGCAGGACCTCATAGATCTGTTCTTACACGAGAGCTGCCGGGTCTTCCGAGAGCCTTGGTTGCATGCAGTACCCGAGGCATCCGGCGTTTGTTTGATGGGTTTCAGGGTTTTTGTCGTGAGCTGTCGCGAATCAGTGTCGGAGCTTCGTCTGTCCTGAACTCAATACCATCCTCGTGACGCACTTGGCTTCCTTTCGCTCAGGGTGCGCTTTTAACAAGGGGCTTCATGATGGAATGTTCGGTTGCCAACTGATTTTCCGTGAGTTTGGCTGCTTCATACCGCTATGCCTCATGTTTCGAGCTTGCCTGCGACTCCTAGCAGCTTCGGGCAGGCTTGGGGTGTCAGGTTTGAGGTAGAAGGTGCAGAAACAGTTGAGGACCGTCTCATTGATGATGTCGACCGAGACTGGTGTGGAACTGATTGCTCGAGGATTCTGACAGTCAGCATGCAGTCAGCATGCCGCATTACATTTTCGACGCTTTTGCACTCTTTCTGTCGTCACGCTTTAAGGTTCAATTCCATGATTGCAGACAAGCTGAACGCTGAAATTGCCGGTGCTGCGAAGATTGATCAGCCGGACGCTTGTGTGCCGCATCACGCTTTTTGCCCACAGCCGGCACTACGACGCCAGCCGCAAGGTTCAAAGATATCATATTCGGTGATTTCCTGACACGGGGTGGCGTGACGGGCTAAGCTGCCCTGCATGTGCTTGATGTGCTTGACGTGCTTGATGCCTCCACTACCTCTTGCCTTTGACACGTTGGCTCAAAGAGTCGAAACCAAGAAGCCTCTCAGCTCGAAGCCCAAGTTTCCCTTGCAGGGCGCCACGATATGGCGGTTGTCAGCAAGATTGTGAAAGCATGGTTTGCTTATCGCTTGGACATCCATGTGATCCTTTGACTGTGGCTCACAGGGACCTTGAGCTCTTCGGCAGTCGGTGCCAGAGAAGCTGGTGCAGATTTAGGGTTTGCTTGGGCTTGTGAGAAATAAACCCGATCCGTATTGCTTTCGTGGTGGCGGAGCCCCGTTGCTTACTAGGGTTCCTGCTTCGGGTACCGACTCGCCGTAGCCGTATCCCCGAAGCGCGCACTCCGTGAGCCCCGTTCATATCGCGACTTGCCTCCTCCTCCGGCACCGTCGGATTTGAGTTGAAGGCGCAGGGACCACTTCATCTCCTCATTGGACCTCTCCGCCGGTTACCCTATCAGCCTTGCGTGACCGCGGTCCAACCTTCCTACACTTGTTCTTCGTGGACTAGACCGTCCCGTACCACCCTTTCTACCATCACTTACTTTCCACCACAACCTCAACTTAGACTAAAGCTCTCAAATACAGTCCGCGTCGGCACTCTGACGCGGGACGCCGAAGTTGTCTTCCGTGCGCCCGGCTCCCTGCGTTCGCAGCCGCGCGAGGGAGTCCAAGGGCCGATGGCAAGAGAGCAAAGGAAAGCGCAAGGGCAAAGGCAGGAGAGCAAGGAAGGAAAGAAGGGAAGTCAGCAGCAAGGAAAGGAGGAGCAGAAAGGAAGGAAAGGAAAGCACCATCAGGAAGGAAGGAAAGAAAATCCGCAGGATAGCGTGGACGAGCTTGGGCTGAACCTTTCAGCTAAGGTACTGCCAAAGCCCCAGAAGCGACCGCGCAAGACTAAGTGTCGGGGTGGTAGTTCAGATCGGGCCCTTGCGCGTGACGAGGAGCGCAGGGGCATCCTTTCCACGGCAGCGAGCAAAAAGGCAGCGACTTGTGCAGAGGGACCGGAGGTCGCAAACCGCAGGCGCCTCCGGATCCGTCGGCTTGAGGTCGCTGTTCCCTTGAGAGAGCTCCAGCAGGACTAGGAGTCGCTTCCTTATAGGGAGCGCAGTCGCCGCATCGAGGAGAAGAGGGCTTTAAGAGGCAAAAGAGAGCGGCGAGACTCCTACGCAAGGAGAAGAAGGAGAAAAGGGCCAAGAAGGCCAAAGCTGCTGAGATCGTCGGAGGAAGCCGACGATGAGGAGGCACCCGAGGAAGCGAGACCGCTCCCGGGAATGCGGGGTCCCAGCCCGTCTTCGTCATCCTCTGAGGGTTTTAAGAGGAACCTGAAGAGGACGTTCGAGGATCGGATCCCAGTGTACGGCCACAGAGGGCCGGCGACTTGCCTAAAGACTATTGCCCTACATTCTCACCTACCATGCCTGCGAAAACGGGACAAGTACTCGCAACACCCACCTCTACATCCACAATCCTTTGCATGTACAAGTTCTGCTGATCGAGATCTACGTGGACAAGGGCTTTTTTCGTGTTCTACCTCCAAAGACCCGACTTCTTTGCCCTGCCGCTTGAGCCATGGCGTCGCAGGACCGGGAGCCGAAGAGTGAGGGGTTTGATAATTTCGTTCTTGTATGGGATAACGACCCCTCGTCGCTTAGGAAATTTAGACGAGACACCGAGCTCCGGCTCGCATTGCTGGATCTCGAGCGTACAACGAGATTTTCGCTCGCAGCAAGATTTGTGCTGCATCAAACAGGGGCTGCCAAGGCTCGTGGTGAAGAGTTTAGCTTGGATGAATTATCGTATGGCCCTGGTGTGACAAGCGAAGGCCTAGATGGTGAGGAAGTTGTAGTTCGGGCTCCTGACTACAAAATAGGCGTGCGAAAACTCCTTGATGCCTTCGCAGAGTTGTCGGGCAAGACTTGCACCGAGAAGAAGCATGAGTTGAGAAGCAAGCTTTACTGCAGCTTGCGGCGCCGCCCTCGTGAAAGCGTCACCCAGTTTGCTGCGAACTTTCGGACTTTGCAGGGTGAGCTTAAAACTGAAGGCATTGTGGTTCAGGACCACCGAGTATGCTTGGATTTTCCAGCCAAGGCTTGGTTTGAGTGAGATCCAGCGGCAGCTTTGGAAACAACCGTTGGGGAGGACCCAGCCTGCAACAAGGTTGAGAAGGAGGCGCGTCGGCTTTTCAGGCGAATCCGCCTCAAGGGAGCGGATGAGGGCATTCCGCATGGGCTCCGGGCCCCGAGGAGCCCCAGCTGTACGAAGCCCACGCCGAGGATGAGCCGTTGGATTTGGAGGAGGCTCAGGAACATGAATTGGAGGCGATGGCAGCTTCCTTGGATGAAATGGAGGCGGACTGCGACGGGCCGGGTTTGAATGAAGCCGACAGTGTCCTCTCGGACATAGCGGAAGCGTTGATGACAAGGACAGGACAGGGGCTATGGTAAGCCGCCAGACCATGGATCAAGAGGGTCGGGCCCATCATCATCGTCATCTTCTTTGGTGGCGCCCCGGAAGCGGGATACGAAGTGCAATGCCTGTGGACTGAAGGGGCATTGGGCAGGCGATCCGGAATGCAACCTGATAAATTTGGACGCCTCAGAGTTCGAGATCTTCCTGGCTAACGTCGGGAAGGAGCCAAATTGGTCGAGGATGGGTGAGGAAGAGAGAAAGCTCGATCAGGCGGCTGCATTGGAACAGCGGGAGAAATGGGTGGAGAACTGCGCCGTTGAACCCTCGGCGATGGAGCAGTCAAATACCATCCGTTCTGAGATCAAGGCCGGGGCGAAGCACAACCTGCTCACTCCACGATTCGTGCAAGCTGACCAAAATGCTCCTCTGCGAATTCCAGGGAATGATTTGCCAGCTAAGGTGAATTCGCGTCGAGTCGTGCCAGGTTTCCGCGACAGGGCACTGTTGGAAGGTCAGCTAAGAACGGATGCGTAGGTTGGTTTTGCACCTTCTCCTGACCATCAGTGCTTTAAGCCAAGCTGGCCTATGATGAGCGGCGATGTTCGTGCCGCGGTCCTGAGAAGGAGATCCGTATGTCACGTGTCTGCTTTTCATGGATCAGTCGAACAGGAAGCGGGGACCTTCATTACCCGTCAGGCCAGGGATCTTGTTCAAAATTCGGAAGAGTGTTTGGCCTAGCGGATGCTCCCAGGGCATGGTACGAAAGACTACTGCGGACACATCGCGCCAGAGGTTGGGCCCCGCCTAACTTGGACGAAGGACTTTTCTACAATTGGAGTCCGACAGGAGTTCTAGAAGGCGTCACGTTGACGCACGTGGGCGACATCCTCGTTACCGGAAAGGAGGCCATCAAGAGCTCCCACGAAAATCTTTTGCGGAAAAGAACTGAACCTGGAGAAACATGCCAATGGGGAGGCTACGGTGAATATGACCGAGTACCACCGAAACTCCAGATACCGGTTGTCTCTAGAAAGTCCCGCCAGGACTTGTCGAGAAGCTTGAACGCGAAGGAGCTGCGCGACCTTCGAGCCCTAAACGGTTCTCTTCAGTGGCCTGTTTTGCACAGCCAAGGTTCGACGTGGCCTTCCGCCTTTGCGAGGTGCAGATCGCCAAACCAACGGTTGCGACGTTGCTCAAAGCTTGCAACCTGGCGAGGGCCTTGCAGGCTGACTCAGACTTCGTTCTCAGTTTTCGGAACACCAACCGGCAGGAAGGTGGGCTGGTCGATGTTAGTGATGCAGCCTTGGGAAACATCAACTCCGACGGGAGTGGTGAAGATCTGAAGACTTTTTCCCAAAGCTGTGAGTCAGTCCTCCTGGGTGGGCCCAAGTTGGTTGAGGGTAAGCATGACGCCTTCAACATATTGGACTTTACGTCCCGCAAACTCCAGCGAGTCTGCAGGTCCTCTTAGGGAGCCGAAACGCTTGGTGTAGAGGAAGCTCTAGATGCAGCAGAGCTCGTCAGATGTCTGGTTGCCGAAGCTCGTGGCACCGACATCATGAAGCCTGGAAGCCAGTTTGCGGGGTGCTCCGTACCCTAGACTGTCGTGACAGATGCCAAGGATACTTTCGATAGAGTCTGAAGCACACAGGTTTCGGGGCCCCACAATCGTTAGTTTTAACTTTAGCTCTGTTGAGGCGCAGACGTGTATCCGATGGACGGACACTGTAGTCATTTTAAGGAGGTGATCTGTAATGTTTCGTGGTCTATCGAGTACAACACCGAGTTTGTGAGGCAGAAGGTGAAGCCCCGTAGGACTACCTCGTCACCTTCGACACTAGAGGACGGTGCTCCGGGTGAACTACTGAGGCAATTCGTAAAGAACTTCGGCTTTAAGCCTGGCTGGCACCTGGTAGGGAAAGCTCCGAAGCTAGTTTATGTACAAGTTGCATAAGTTGCTGAAAGGGCAAAGTCCTACAGAAGCCTTGAGCCGCGTATCGAACTACCGTAGGGAAGTTCCTGCTCGATAGCAATCGAAGTGAATGGAGAGTGCTCGAGAAGGACCAGGACGTCCGAACTTTGGCGAAACCCTACTCCAAGTTACTTCGCGCTCCTGAACTTCTGGCTAGCTTGTTTAGGCAGAATCTCGAGTGTCCAAGCGACAAAGATTTTAAATCCGCGTGAAAGCATGGTTTGCTTATTATAATTTGGACATCCATGTGATCCTTTGACTTTGTGCATGTCGACGGTGAGAATTCAGATTAGCTGACCCTGGGGATAGTGTCAGTAGTCTGACAATGTAATTCGTCTTTGAGTTGCAGGCTTAAATGCTCCGTTCAGATCAGAAGATCCCGTGCAACAATTTCTGGACGTGGCCAACTTGCAACGCCGACCAAGCAGGTCGTAGCTGCAGGTTATCTTCCCCGACTCCCTCCATTTTCTGACCTTTTGTACAGCTCCAGAGGTCTCAAAGGTTTTGAAGCCGTGTGTCAACGATTTTCGGCAGACGGTCCACCGAACGCCGCTTCCAGCTGGTTGGGAGAGTCGGCAAAGTAATCGAAGCTTGAGTGCCCCCGATCGGTTGACCCTTGTTGCCAGCGCAGGATGCAGCTGGCACGGTGCATTCAACAAAACACTAGTCACTAGTGGTCCTCTGCTGCACACTGCAGCCCGCGTCAAAAAACTGCACGGCCTTCATCCGTTGCCCGCAGTCGATTCGCAGATGATGCGCGCTCGCTCATGTTGCTGTAACGTTTGCCTTTGTCCGAGGATGTGAACCCTTACCAGAAGGCAGACAGTGAACAGAAATGTGTGAACATATTCCAAGAGATGCTGGACGACTACAACAATCTCATGCCGACCAAGCTTCTCGGCGTGGGATTTGCCTTGACACTGCACTTGGCTCGTGCGACGAGTTGGCCCCAGGATGAACATCGTCTTCTTCCGTGATGCATGTCCGGCATTTAGACCTCATGAGACAGGCCAGCCATTCAGTGCTGTTGCTCCTTTCTGCCTATTCTCAAGGCATGCATCTGGCGAGGGCAACAAGAACCATCCGACAGCCTCGTAGCATGACTGCACTTGGTACTTGCTGTGCGAGAGAAGGAGAAGAGAGGGCAGTCCTTTTCACAACGGATGTAACCACTCGGCACACTATACCAACGGCCAGTGCTGCGACAGGTGGAAACTTGCTTATGGCAGCGTCCCAAGTCCTCGAACACTATTGTGGCGCAGTTGGTTTTCCATCTGTTCGTAGATGTAACCAACCTTTGAAGGTCGGAGTGAGTGGCGTTGGGCGGAAGTCCATAGCCCGCATTGCTGCTCACATGGCAGACTTCCAGTGTTTCTCCATTGAGATTACACGGACGTATGGCATGATTCTCAGTGCATGCGTTGAGCGTATTCTTCTGTTGATGTGGTGTGCCAAGCCTTCCTGTCCCTCAGGTGCCAACGATTTCAAAGAAGACTTGAAGAACATCATGAACGGCGTTGCGAAAGGAGGAGGCTGCTGTTGCGTATTCTATAACAAAATGCGCAGAAATAACCGAGCACATGTCGGCAACTGTGCGCAAGCTTTTGTTATTGCCAGCCCAAGATTTGAGCTTCTTGTCCTTATCGGGTGGAGTGCGAACGCTGCAACTGCCTGTACTTCTCCAGCTCCTCATGCTCAGCTCTTGCTCCTTGACGACAGCGAATCTTGTTGTACGGATCTGCAGCATGACCTTGATGAACTCGTCCGTGATTCTTCACACGACCGAGAGAAAGACTGGAGTGACTGGAGGCAAAGGTGTTGTCTTCCTCTTTTCGGACACGCAGATTGTCAAGGAGCCACTCCCTCGGAATTACGGTGTTTGTGGCTGGCAACCTTTATTCTACGTCCCTGAGAACTGCATGTAAAGCTAACAGGGTTGACCCTGAATGCAGTTAATTGACTCTGTGTTACCATAGATGCGGACATGCCCGGTGCGTCGGGTTGTCGAGCTATTACTGGCACCAATGACCGCCAGCCGTGCAGACAGAAACACGGCTACAGCGTGCCCAGATATCCTACTAATCAGACCATCATGCTTGCATTGAGACTGCAGCGTTGCACCGAGCTTGCTTGGCGACATGCAAAGACGCCTCTAAAATCAGATAGAAAGAATGTCCGTCCAGCCATTTGGGCCCTGCTGCCGATCCGGACCACCTCAGCGGTCGATAGCCTCTGTCGTGAGCATTGTGTGGAAAGTTACCAAGGATGTCCTGCATCCAGAGGTGCATATGTGCACATGTGTATTGTAATGGATCAGATGTTTGCGTAGCATAGCAGGTACATGTGTATATATGTATATGTATACATGCGCAGGGGTTAGTCTGTGTCGCCTTCGTATCTGGCAATGCATATACATACACATACATACAAGCATATACAGGTGCATATGTACTATGTATGTGCACATAACTACGTGCTTACTGGAATTTGTGTGTGCATTAAATATCTACCGCTGCACATACACAGACATGCACAAACACACACGTACACATACACGTGCACACATATATACACGATGCGTGCAGCGGATAAGTGTTCTGACAGAGCCTGGTGAAGAACCGCACAGACAAAAGAACGCTTGGTGGCGGAAAGAGTCGAAATACTCTCTGAAGCAGAGCATTTGTCAAGGGCAACAGGCGGCAAAGTATGCCTCGTGCTTCGTGCATCTTTGTTCGCACATTCCGGGTGTCCATGGCAGTGTTGCCTCGAGTCTTAGGTCCTTCTTGGAAGACATCAACAACATTCTGAACACTGGTGAGGTGCAGTGTTCTCTGGACGGTGCCGTTAGCTGCCACATTGCTGGGCGCAACTGAGGTGCCGAACCTCTTTGCACCTGATGAGCTGGAGGGTGTGATTGGTCTGATGCAACTTGCCAGAAAGCCACAAGAAAGCCGACTTGCATAGACTCATCTGTGGTGATCTGAGCTGCCCAGGCGGCCTTTGGCCAAGGCCCGCTTCAAGCGGAAGTTCTCGCTGCATGTTGTCCTGTGATCTGTCTGCCGAAGGCCGCCGGGAAGCCAGAGACGCGAGATGCAATTTGGCAGTATTTCGTGCAGGCACGAGTCATGCACACGTGCGCGAGTGGCACAGTTGTGTATGATGTATGTTTCGTGCCGTGCGAGACCATGGCCGTCAAGCAGCCATTCTGCCGGTTCTTGCCATGGACAGGTTATTCGGGAGAACTTGCACATCGCGCGGGCCTCATGGGCAGCGAGGCAGGCATGCAGGCAAACATGAGTCCTGAGATTGATTGAGCTTGCAGAAGTGGGAGACTGAGGTCTTGGCCTTCTCGCCGATTGGTGAAGGCTTCCGAGCACGATGCCGGCGACTGAGATGCGTTTCGAAACTGCGACACAGTGCCACATGCCCCGGATTCAGAATGCATGACATAAGCGGAAACTACGAGAACGTGCGATAAGGGTATGACCCCTAGATCTAGTCGAGCAACGCGGCATGGAACGAAAAGCAGGCACATATACTCCGTTCAGGCTTCATTGAAACGCGCTGAAGCTCGCTTGATGGCCTTCTGCGCTGTTCCCGGTTGCTAGCGGAGGGACACAGCTGCGCTCCTGCGCCACTCAGAATACTCGAAGCAGAAGTTCATCGTTGGATGGAATTGTGGACCACGTACTTCAAGCACTTCCCGTTATTGAATCATCGGAGACATTGGTTGCTACAGCCACCGGCTGTCACCGGAGGATGGTGAACTGCGCAACAAGAAGTACTCAGATAGTGCCTGAGCGTTTCGGCATTATGAGGCACTCATCACAAGAAAATTCCGTTCAGTCCTTCAGGATTCTCCGACTTGTCTAAAGCCAAAAGATACGCAAGAAAAGTGCGAACAAGCAATCAGCAAGCAACATGCTATCAGTAGGCTCGGGAAAAGACGCGCTTGCAGTGCAGAATGCTCATCGTGAGATCCAAATCTACTTTGCAGGGATCGCAACATCCGGCATGCGTGTGCCTGCACACGCAATTAAAATGACGGTTCGGAACGAGACCTATGATGCAATATCGCAACCGGAAAACTCAAAAAGGCAAGGTCCTTAACTTCGCTTTTGAGCGCAAGCTGCATGTAGGTCGTCGGTTTTTCAAGAACTTCCCGACAAGTTGTTTGTGCTTACAGCTAGTGAAATCGTATCCCTCATCGCAAGGGAGCTCTCTCACTGACTGCCGACTGCAGGCCGACAATTTCCATCCATCATCAACTGCGCAACGATCGACTGGTTCAGCCGTCGGCCTCAGACTCCTGGCCTAGTGGATGTTGAGGCGAACAGTCGGGTGGTGCCATGGTGATGCCACATTATGCAGATGGTAGCTGACTGGCAAGAACCTGGCACCTTTCCGCAGCTGAAGGTCCATGGCCTGCTGATGCACTGTATTCCGCACACGTCTCAGACAGACGAATGCATCGAATGCCCAAGGCATGTAATGAAGACTTGAAGATGGGACGCAATCAGAGTTTCTTGCTTCTAGATTCTACACCTTTGCCTGTTGACGTCCGTCCACCTGTCACGGTTCCGCGACTCTTGCTAGCCCGAGGGTCTCGTGTTACCTTCAGTACCATGTGACTATGTATTCCAAGCGCTCAAGCAGATGAGGTGGCCGTTCGCTACTATTCGCAAGCTCCGAAAGAGCTGGGTCCATGCACCCAGTCCGTTTCATGTGTCTCGCAGACAGCTCTACTGAACTCTACTGGACTCTGCTGCTCTACGTTGGTTCACTCATCCTTTGCTCAAGGCCTGGAGTCTCTGGTGGACCAGCTCTCAAAGGTCTCGCAGTGCCCTATAGTCCTACTTGTGCAGCCTGCCAAGGTGCTGCACTTCTTCCGTTTTGCTCGACCAGGTACATGCACAGCACTTCGAAAGATGCCGCAGAGGACTTCTTCGAAAGCTTGAGCCTCTGCCATGGTCAGGCAATGATCGCAGGGCCTTGGGAAGATTTCACGGAGTATTGCCGAGTAGCGAGGCCTGCGAAGAAGAACGTACATGACTCCAACTTCCTACTTGGAGCTCATTGGCCTCTTCACAGACCTGGTGGGCAAAAAGCCTGGGCCCTGTGCCTCACGCAGCTTTCTGCAGTGAACTCGCCTCGACTCGTGCAGGCGTGGGGAGCTGACCACAAAGCTGGAACGCTACACCATTGGCTCCAAGACGCTGAACGAGACCAAGTCTGTTGTGGACGATCTGAAGGCCCGGCCCAGCTGTCAGACGCAGCATCAAAATATCTTGATATATCATATACAAGTACGTTATATATAGTTTTCAGATATAACATACTTACTTGTGACCATCTAAGATATGATGTGTTTAATATACACATATACTAACATGTCTTTCCGAGCTGACGAGCCAGGCATCCTTGGCCAAGATGCAGCCTACGCGACTGAGCTGAAACTGTCGGAACAGCAGCACGCATACTGGCACGCGCCTCCCCAACCGAATCCACTGGCTTGTGGTGAACTTGAAGCTGAGCTGTGGAACCATCCGAGGATCGAGCAGGCGAAGAAAGATACTGCAGAGCTCATGGTGAAGGCAAGAGCTTTAGAATGACCCTACAAAACTCGTGTCGTGGGACTTTCTGCACTTCAGACATGTTCTTGGCACACCGGTCCTCTTGACTCGAAGGTTCAAGCAGATCAGGCGATTGCAAAAGAGAAGAGCGAGGCTGGAAGCTGCTGACATGTGTTCCTGAAGCATGTACCGTCATGTGTATTGAGACGCGTCCTCGCTGCAGCCTTGGCGCAGATGCGGTATCTCCCTTGCATTGCCTACAAGTCACCGACACGCTGGAAACTTGCGTCGCACCAGTGGCCTGTCCTCAAAGTCGACTGCCCCTCTCCAGTTCGCGATTTCGCCTTTGTCTTTTGTTCTCGTTTTGCTGTCTATCGAACTGCTGTCGCTGCCTGCCCATCCTGCGACATTTGGTGGGGGCTAGTTCGGTCTGATATACTGGCTCAGTGAAGACCGTGAAAGGTTGGGATTATAGGCCATCACGTGATTCGGGCTGGCGGCGAGGGTGGGTAAAGCCACGTCTGGGTTGCGAATGCGGTGTTGCTTCATGAAAGGGGGTGCCACGGAATCTCCACCATTGCTGCCGGGTGCATGGGTGTGGAAAGGGTCACCCAGCTGCTCCACAGGCATGTGCCGTTGACGAGAAAGCTGCCTCGGAAGCTGCAGCGGAGGCAATGAGCTAGAGTCAACATTTATGACGACACTTAAGGATGCTTTGCGGTTCTGATGACAGGCCAATGGAATAAAGGCCGACTGCCAGAAAGACCTCGACGAGGTGAAAACCTGATGACAACACTCATCGACAAGTCGTCAGCGGGTTTCCCGTGTTTGCAAACACCTTGATGTAGGCATTGCCCGAGTATTATGCGGCAATCAAATCGCTTGATTCCCTCGACAAGAAGGACCGTGAATTTGCCTGTTTGGATAAAACCACAGGGCGATGAGGCAGTAAGCTGCTCCTTTTCAGGACATTCAAGAGGTCAAGTCGTTTGCCAAGCCTCCGCCTCTAGTAGAGGCACCCTTATGCAGATACGGCGTGTTTCCAGGCCTTCATGCATGATGCCCGGAGTGTATCTCAACATGTGGAGGTTGTTTTGAGTGCGGTATGTCTGTTGATGGGCCTGGATCTTGGAACTGCATGCCTTTCTATCAGATCTGTTCTCACAAAGGATGATAGAGCAGGTTGCCGTGTTACACAGGATGCTGAAAGTCGGCATGAAAGTGCAGCCCATGGGACTCCGTGTGACAATCGGTTTTGGACACGCACTTTCGAAGCGACCATTCAGACTCGGTAAGGCCAGAAAGAGAGCTGGGACGATGCCAAGAAGCCACTTGGCATTGTCACGGCAGATTGATGCAGATGATGTCCCTCGTGCTGCAGAGCCTGGAGCCGGTAAGAGCACCACAACCAGCAGGCTCATGAACGACACGAAGTTCCTAGACAATCTGAAGACCTACGACAAGGATCCGAGAGAGCACTTGTAGAGATTTCGGCCTGTTGGTCCCATCATTGTGAGCTTGGAAGTCTTGCTGCCATAGCCTTTCCAATGTGTGGGTCGGTCGTTGAACTTGTTGCACGGGATCATGGGAACGGTACGACGTTCCGGTCACCCGGAGGATGCCTTGGCCAACAACGCCAAGTTGACCCAAAAGTTACAGAAGTACATCAAGAGGTGGCTCTGACTGCAAGATACTGGAAGCTGAAACGCCAACATGCCTCTGTGTGTCAGGGAAGACTTCGTGGCCGAAAAGGCTTGGACGGATCTTGCTGAACCGTCTCTCATCAACCTCTACTGTAGCATGTTTTGGCAAGGCATTAATGGGAAGACTCTTTTCTATGCGCAATAACTGTAGCAGGTGTTGCTCATCATCTATTCGTTGCTACTTGCGATTGTCGGCAGATGCAGATCTGTGACCGGTGAGCACTACTCGCTGTGACTAGCTTGCTTGCTACTGGGGCTTTTGCTGAGCGCTGCAGACCCTTCGCTTGCTTATCTCGTTCATCTGCCTGCGACACCATGTGTAATCCTGGCCAGGTCAAAAGCGTGTCTTCTGCCGCCATGTCGCTCTGTGTCTCGGCTGAACAGGTTTTCTGCATGCTAAGACGGCTGCTGCAAAGCCCCATGTGGAAGCCAGACGAGTATTGTCGAGAACCATCTAGTTCGTAAGCCGGATTCCACAGCAACAGGCGCCCGGGGCGTCAAACTGGATGACAGAACTCGTTGGAACAATCCTGTAGCTGCTTGAATGGGGGTGGGAAGCCAGGGAGAGAGGGAGGAATGCAGGGGCCAACGTCACCCCCGAACTCTCTGGTGGAGAGTGGTGGACAGTTCTCGGCAGCTTGGCGGGCTGGATTCGTGGAGGGTTGATCAAGTGTGCATAGCTTGAAGGGTGAAGGCTGGATTTGGGACATAGGCAAACCTTTCACATCATCGCCAAGACTAGGTCTAGGTACAGGAATAAGCATTCTGCATGGTGTGGCACTGGCCACCAAAACGCCGAAGCAGCGACCTGCAGGGAGCCCGCGAACACGCTCTTCCAAGCTGCTTTCCCTGCGACGTCCTGCATGTCAATCGGATATCGCACACGACCTGATTGGTTGTTGAACGCACAATCGGGACATGTCAAGGCAGGAGGAGGTGTGGAGCGGTGGAATTTTGGATGATGCACGGCCAGATATGCGCATGATGCCCGCTCTCACGGAGCAATGTCAAGGGTTCCGCAAGCGAGCGCTTCCGGTGCTTCGCGAGCTTTCGTACCCGCCTGGACGCAAGTCAGCGGCAAGTCAATCATCTACGTTTTGAGCGGTTGTATCCGGAGCGTTTCCCTGTCTGCCTGGGAGAAGAGGGAGGGGTCGAGAAATGTGCCCAGAGCCGTTCTCGCCGAATCTACCATTCCAGCCGGGCATTTAAGAATCTGTGAACGGATGAAAGGCGTGGTATGACATGGTATGACCGTCTCTTTACACATTCCATGATCCATGCTCGTTTAAATGCCTTTTCATCCTCATTCCTGAAGTGAGCTGTCGTGGAAAGGCCGTTCCGGTCTTCGCTGCTGCGTAGGAAGAGTGAATTGGGGCTTTGCCCATGCTCGAGCTACAAAAGCCTAGTCTGCTTGTTGCAAGAAGACGTGATGTCAGCGAGGGACATCGCCATCGGATCCTCAGAATTCAAACCATCGGACGTGGTCAGTTCGTCACCCCAAACACGGATTGTTGACGCTACATGAGCCATGGGAGGCATGTGGGTGCGGGCTATGGACGTCTATGGGCGCGTCTCACGGGAAATCGAACCGAAGAAGGCCGGGCGAGCTTCGGGACATGCAGTGATAGGCAGTGTTGTGCTGCAAGAGGACATGCCGGCTATCTTTGTTGTCCCGCTTGGGGGTTCGTTTCCGCTACATATGCTACATCATGTTAATACGTAACAAGCGAAGCTAGTCCCTCTGTCCCTCTGAAGATACACTCGCACCACGAACAGGCGAAGCTAAAGGTTGCAGAAGACTCTCTGGCAGCTGCTGAAGAGAAGCTGGCCATCAAGAAGGCGAGTTGCGTGTCGACGTTAGGATCCGATGGCCCAGATGAGGTTGCCGGTAACAGCTCGTTGGCACACGTTGCAGCACACAAGGCTCAAGAACAGATGCCGATCGCTCCGCTCCGTGCAACTTGGGGATCTTTCGCTGTCGTGACTCTGTGCCGTGTGTTAACCTTAGCCTTGGAAGAGCAGAAGGAGATCTTTGATGCCATAGTGATTGGGGCCGGGCCAGCAGGCCTTTCGACGGTGAGGCATTTGTTGCAGGCTAACGTTTCGTCGGTGCTGTTGCTCGACAAGTCAGAACGAATTGGCGGGCGCAGCCGAACGCTGAAATACGGTCGGTACGGGGTGGATCTTGGTCCAGCATGGATCCATTACGGCACAGCAAACCCGCTGACACACTTGGCCACTCAAGGCAACTGCAGCATGGTGCGGACCCGAAACCTGAACATGAACGTTTACCACGTTGGGAAACAAGTACCTCAAGCCGTCGTAGCGGAGATGTTCGGCCTGCTGGACGACATTGAAGCTGGGTACAATCAGTGGAAGAGTGTTGGGAGAAGGGATGACAATCTCCTGCGTGTCTTTGAACGCATCTTCGAGCAGAAATCACTTGAGCTTTCGCCTGAGCAAGAAGCTGCATTTGCAGCAATCCTTTTCGGAGAGATAGTTGAAGACTGGACTGCTCCTCTGCACGAGCTTTCAGCTGGGAGGCACTGCGAGTATGATAGCGTTGATGGAGTTGGGAGCGACTGGCGAGTTGTGGAGGGGATCGAGTGCATCGTTCAGCAGATCCTAGATCCAAACTTCCAGAACTTGAGATTGAATCATCATGTGAAGTCAGTGCGGTTTGACTCAGACTCAATGCTGGTTCATGTTCATGGTGACGGCTTCAAGGACTTCTTGAAGGGGCGGGTTGCGGTCTTCGGGGTGCCTTTAGGAGAGTTGAGGGAGCGCCAAGTCGAAGTCGAGCCTTTGCCTGACTGGAAGAGAGAGGCTTGGAAGGAGCTGGGTTTGGGTCGTGCTATCCGAGTGGCATTGGAGTTCGAGAAGCACTTTTGGCCTTCAGAGGTGGAGTTCTTCATGGACTTTGTCACGAACTGCACCAGCAGCTTTCTCCAAGATGTGGATTTGTGTTCAATTGAGTTCACTGCGCCTGTCTCCGGCACGTATCCGCCTGCTCTGGTGGCCGAAGCAGATGGGCGCTTGGCCGAGCGGCTTAGCAATCAATCCAATGACGCCGTGGTCCAATTTCTGCTGGGCCGCTTGGAGGAGATGTTTGGGAACTTGCCAGAGCTGAAGAGCTCTCATGTCCTAAGGCCCTGGGGCTTGCCGTTCTGGCAGCAAGGCTCAAGTGGGAGGCCAGCCGCACGGCGGGCAGGAGAGCCCATCATGAAGCGGCTCTTCTTCGCAGGCGACTATGTCTCTCACAACGTCGGAACCGTTGCCGGGGCGTTTCTATCTGGAATCGCAGCCGCTCACGCCGTTTCCTGTGAGCTGGGAGCTGGGGGGCTGATCTTTGAAGAGCTTCCCACAATTGGACCCATGATCGATAAGGCGTGTTCGGAGTGGACGCTCCTGGAGCGCGGACGCTGCAACGTAACCCTCTGGGACGTACTCTATTCTTGCTCGGCTTTGCGAAGCTTGGATGACGAGTCTGGAAGGACCTGCTTCGTCCAGGGCCATGATCGGTGGCGGGAGGAATCTGTGACTTGGTGGTTGAAGGACTGGCGCCGCAGTGTGCGGAAATCAGCTCAAAGACTGGTTGAACGTGTCCGAACTCTCTATAAACTGGTTCGCGGCGATCGGCTCGGCAAGATCCGGACAGAAGTCTGAGAGCACGAAGCTCATCGAGACTCCCGAAGACCAGCTTCGGCTGACCTCACGGTCTTCACGGCTCTTCACTCGTCCTGCTACTAATCCAAGAGTCTAAGTGCGACTTGATGGACGGTGACTAGATCCTGTTCGGCTGGTTGGCCACAGCTGCAATAGCTTCGCTGAGCACATCGATGAGAAGATGTATCCTTGACCGCTTTCCGTTCATGGGAGTCACGTGCCTTGCGAGACGACCGAGACTGCTCACCTGGGAAAGCCTTGAGTCGCATTTCTGCAGCCACCACGGCGTGTCTCAACCGTTGCTCGCCTGCGGCAGATGTATGCTGAACTCCTTGCGCTCATGAAAGCCGATGATGACATGACATTGTAATCTTGCGCTCAACTTGCTCAGCATGGGCTCTGTCGTTTTGTGAAGCTTGATTCGAGAGAAGTACGGAGCAGGCTGAATTGAAGCTGGTGATGGACAATGTAGCCTCCCTGGAGGACGGGGCTGCGTTTGGGTTTCGAGAAAAAACCTGAAGACCTAGCAGCTTACCGGACGTCGTCAGGCCCAGCTTGCTGCGGCCCAGCGCAAGGCCAGACGCTCGTTTCGACTATCGTGTGGGAGTAGAACATAGGGTGTACAGAAAAAACAAGTTACAGTAAACTAGATGCAGGCTAAACCAATATGCAAAGGTGTTTCTGAACGATGTAATCCATAATATCTATATTTGGATCAATGTCCATGTCTATTTTCTATTTCTATATTAATATCTGTAACGGTATACTGTATATGTATCTAAATCTATTTCTGTATCTTCTGTTATGTCTACATCTGTTTCGATATCTGCATCTGTATTTGTTTCTATATCTATATATGTACCTATATCTATACCGGCACGTATACCTGTACCTATATCTGTATTTGTATCGGCATTTGCATCTGCATCTGCATCTGTATCTAAACATATATATATAGAATATACATACGTACATACATCTATAACTGTATATATATATATGTATATATATATATATATGTATATATATATATGTATATGTATGTGTATATATATATGCATACACATAAACAGATATACATACGCACACATGTCTGCATGCATACATGCATGTAGATCTCAACCGGTTCGTCGTCGAAGGCTGCCCAACTGGAAGCGGATGCAGAGGATTGCGTGCCGGCCTTGGCTCGGTAACGCAGAATGGATCTAGGAGGCAAGCTGGATCAGCGAACACATCTGTGGTGAACCGGAGATGATTGGAAATGTGCAGAGTTGGAACGCAGCAGAAACCGAGAACTTCTTTAGTCAGTATTCAGCACTGTCAGTTAGAGACACTTATCAGGCGCGGGAAGGTGGTCAGGAGGCAGGTGCACAGCCTTGGCTCGCGTACTTCTGAGGTGATCAAGCTAGACCGTGCTGAAAAGCTGCTTGCTGGTCTGGGGAATGAGAGTGTGCGCTGGAATGTGTGCCCCTCAGTGCTTCCGGACAGACGGCCTCGTCAGTGGGTATGGTTGGATATGCTCTGTGCTTCGCTGTCGGTTTTGCCGACCCACTCGCACGCCCAGGCTGCCAGTGAGGTGTTGGAGAAGAACCTGAAGTTTGTGATTGGAAACATTGTCCTTGCAGGCTCCAGATTGCTGTGCCGGAAACGCATTAGAGACGTGGGAATGGTGGTGTCAGAGCAGGTGGTTTCATTGCGTACACAGGGCCTTTTACGGCAGAATTTCGCCGTAGTTTGGTGCTGCCCTGAGCGCAGAAGGCACACATAGGCTATCTTTCTGACGTGATGGTCCAAGGTGGCCAAGTGGAAGCAGCAGGCAGATGGGGTAGGTCTCCTTTGCGATCCCAACTGGAAGGCCTTGCTGGATGTCTTCACAGTTCCTTGTTGAAAACCGAATGTCAGTACAGAGGCCGCAGATGTTCTGGTCGACCCGGCAGAGGTGGGAGATCGAGCCAACCTTGCGTGCTTACAGCCATGGCCATAAGGTTCGCATGTGGAACATCCAAACTCTCCCCTCGGACGATCTGTCGGTGGAGAACGGCCTCATGGTCGGCTGGTGGTTCTTTGCTGCACTGTTCTGCGATGTCCCGCAGATCTGTCTCTGGCTGGAGGTGACGCGCGGAAGACGGTGGCCCCTCATGGTGGATCCGCAGGGTCAAGCCAACCGCTGGGTTCGCAACATGGGCAAGGCTAGACGACATTTGCAATACGTTTGATGGGCAGTGGCGATGTCCACCCTCTGCTTGTCAGGAGAACAATATCATTATCACGAAGCTCTCCGATGGCACGTACCTTCGCAAGCTAGAATCGTCCGTTTCCAAGACTTGTGACTGCGAGCTTGCTACTTCGGGAACATGGACCCTTACGAAGGGGGAAGCACCAGCGCGAGAGAGTTGTAGCTGTCTGGTTTGAGGTCTGTAATTGAGACAGTCGCACCTCAGTTCAACAGATTGAATCGACGTTGACATCATGGTCGACCCTCTTAGCAGCGCGGAGTCGTGAAGCAATTGCAGATGAAACCGAGAACGACCTGCTCGAAGAGTTTCGCCAAGCACCATGGCTCCTCGCCCTAGCAAGGTTGTGTGACGGAAAACCGAGAAGTCCCATCGTGCTGGCAACATTCTGTTAGAAATGTATTGAACAACGATCTCGGAGGATGGGATGGGGGAATGGCTGGGGTCGCAGAGGCTAGGATTGCAAAGGGCACCCAGGAAGAATGGCATCCGGGCAGCGGTAGAGGTAGGGATCGCTGCGCACGACCGCATATATCCGCGTTATGAGGAAGATGGCCAGTCGAAGTACTTCCGCTGATAAACAGCAGCGGTGAGGAGCTGGAGGGGTGGAAGCTTTGACTGCTGCAACAAGCAGCACTGAAAACTTTCCGGCATTCGGCAGCCTGTCATCGAACCCAAGTTGGTTCTGCATGTTGGGGAAGTCCTGAAATCTGCAACGATTCGCGAGCAGCACCATGACGTAGAGGCGGTTTCTTGAGGACACAAGGCAAAAATCAGGATGGACAATTTCTTCGGCCGATCCTCCGATAATCCGAACTCTAAGCCCTCAACTCTGACTCTATGCAAATGTATCACACGAGAAGGTTTGGTTCCGCTTCAGGACCAGGGCTGGTCCGGTGACGTGGCCAATCCATTGCTCCGGAAGTAGCCAACACTCAGAGCCCTTCCATGTCAGCGGGCTTTTTAGGTGCTGTAGTTGCCGTGGTTGTGTCCCAGCTTTCAGGTAAATGGAGTAAAGGCAATGACATGCGAATATACGACCTTCGGCACATATTGGGGCGCGTCATGAGATGCTTGTGCGCCTGGCATACCATAAGATGCAGTCGGACGTGCCTTGGGGCTCGAGGTGCATACGCAACGGCCACTCCATCCTCATCGAAAATGTGGAAGAGGCGTGCTTCAAGTCTTATGCAGTGAGGTGGGGTCGTTTCGCGTGCTAGGTATTGGACCCTGCACTCGAGCCTGTGCTGACGAAAGCACTTTTCAAGAGAGGGGGGTCCGCCACGCTCGCTTGTGCCACGTTTTGGTTGCTAGCTTGGCGAAGCAGTTTGCATCCCGCAAGAGCTTGAGCCAGGCAGCTGTTGCTTCGTTTGGGAACCGAAGATGTGCCATACGACGAGAATTTTGTCGTCCTCCCAACTTTGTGTTCCTGCATGTTCGCTTGCTCAACACGACGCTGCTGCTGAGGCCTTCTATGTCACGACTAAGATGGCCAATCCTCACTACTTGCCCGAGGTTTGCATCAAGGCCAGGTGTGACACGCTCGGATGCACAGCATGGTGCCTGGAGCAGCTGATGAAGGGATCAATCGCTTATCATGGTTGAAAGCTAGAGCTTCCCGTCGAAGCTGTAAGCAGAGGTGTTTTTGCAGTCTCGTCGATACTGCTGGCGATAGAGAGCTGCTTTCTTCGGGGCAACAGGTCACCGTCATCAACTTCACCGTCACTCTTCTGGGCCTAGAGGCCGCCTAACTTCCACCTGCTCTATTTGCTAATGCATGCCTGCAAGGAGCAGCTCGTGGCCGAAGTCGTCGGAAATGAGCGGCCGGACTTGGCGTCAGCCTGGCCTGTGTTGTGTGCACAGCTCTAATGGCAGAGCTCTATGGTACACATGGCAGGCAACAGCGCCAAGAGCTTGTCGTGCAAATTGCAGCCGACAAGAAAACCCAGGACTGAGCAACTTACTTGGTTTCTCGTAGCTGCAAATAGAGTTTTTGCAAGTTTGAGTTTTCAGTCGGGTCATCGATGATATCAATCTGAACTTGATGCACCGCCGAGCCGGAAATAGATCCGAACGTTTTCTCTCGTCGGATTGCCTTGATTTCCATTCTTGCTGTGTGCATGGTTGCAGGCTGTTGCATGGTCTTGGCAATGCTTTGCCAAACTTGTTGCCAATGCTGAGTTTGCGGCGTCGTGAATTTATAAGCAGGCAGGTTGGTCACATCGAGTTAAACGAGATCCGAACTCATCTTGCATCAAGCGCGACCAGCAATTTACTCACCTTGGCTTTAAGGCTAGCAGTTCATGGGACCGCGTCTCCTCAACGATGCAAGTTTAGCCGGTTTGGACACGTCTACCATGCATACCGCAGGCAAGGATTGATATCAAAGGTTTCAAGCACGGATTCTGACTCACTTCTGGTGAGGACGATCTGGAGCAGCTCATCCTCAAACTGCTGGCTGAGGCCAAGTATGCATCTGGATCTGATGAAAGCTTGTTTGAAAACTGCAGCCGGGGCTGCTGTCTTGAACCTTTCCATTGTGTGACTTAGTCACTCCTAGCACCGAGCCCTCCAATTCCGAAGTGACCAGGCTGGTGGCGACGTCTTGAAGGACGACACCCTGATCGTCACCTTGGACCAGTAAAGCCCCCAGAGTCGAGTCCTTTCCTCCGTGCATGGCATGGCATGGCTTTCTTTCGCCGAGGTCAAAGCGAACTGGATTGGAATGCCAGGAACGGATGCAAGTGGCCGACAAGGCTGGCACTGCATGTGACCGCTTGAGTGTGCTTTGAGCATGCTTTGGGTAAATCAGGCGATGACGGAAATCGATGCAGTTCGGGAGAAGCTGAGACCCGTTGCGACAAGGCCTTGACGTCAAAGTTGATGTGAGGGTGCAAGCACGACGAAGTTGATGACAACAGCGCAGAAACCTGCAGGGCATCGATTCTCTACTTCGTGCACCTCGGACGGTCACGACTGCTCGCGAAACACTTTATGGTATAGTCAAAGTTTGGTAGGTTATAGTATATCATTTGCAGCATGCTATAGCTCTGCACTGCCTGCTTGTCTCACCAGCTTTGAGTCGCCAAGGGTAGCCGACTTGGCGAACATCGATCCCATGTACCAGCCACGGCCCCAACAAGTGGCCCACAAGTGGTGCACAGTGAACAGCTCCTCCCATACCGTAGCGTTCTACTACACTGTAACATACTACAGTACCTTGAGGTACAGCCTCGAGTTCTTCGTCCTCCTCTTCCAGGGCAGGTTGCGTGATGCGGAACAGTCTGAGGACAGCGACAGGGAGCTGGGTCAAGAGCATGGGCTGTTCGAGCGGGAGCTTCTGCAGGACATCAACAAACGCATCGACATCCTTGTGGACGACTTCACGAGGCCTCCTGAACAGCGTAAAGTCGTAAAGTTTACCTTGCAAGATGACGAGCCCTACGAGGTTCATCTTCTTGAACATCTGCCGTGGCTTGTTCGAGGACCATGGTGATGAAGCTTCTGATACGTGTTTACCAGTTTGCCCGGTTTCGCAGTGCCAGACTTTTTGGAGCAACAGAATGGCGACAGTGATAAAAGTCTTGCATGGTGCCGTGCGAGGACCACAAATTGCTCTTCTCCTTCCTCATCACCGTTCAGATCCTGAGAAACGAGGCGAACCATTTCATTATTCCGGTGCGCTTTGCGGTGGCTTCTGGCAGCTGCCGGGTTGTGCAGGTTCACTCGAAATTCCTCAACAAGATCACCATCAAGTTTGCCCCCCAGGTCAAGCGCAGGTTCGAAGCTACAGGGTGCAGTTACCACGACATTTTAACTCCTACCATGGCAGCCATGACAACTGGGGCCGAAAACTCAATAATCCTGACTCCCCCGCGCCTGTTCCAGGGCGGGCACGGACGCAAATCAGTCACGTTTTTGATCTTCTGGGCCCTAAAACTTCAAGATCCTGACTCCCCCTGCCCGTGCTGAGGGGGGCAAGGATGCAATTGTTGATGCTTTTGGGGCCGAAACCTCCAAAATCCTGATTCCCGGACCCTGGGGTCGGAAATTCCAAAATGCTGACGCAAGGGGAAGCACGTTCTGTGCGATTTTGCGACCAATCGTGATTGCCTCCCGCCCAAAAACTTGTACCGTCAGGACGTGAACTAAACATGCGATGCAGGGCCTGAGCGCCCTCTACTGCCCGCCCCTTGGTAAAACCCCCCGCCCTCCCCTTTGGCATGGCACCTGCGTGGTCTTGCTTGGGGTCTTCGCGGTTGGTTCGGGTAGGCAGGAACACCGGCCCTCTCTCCAAGCTTACGTCTAGTGTTGTGGTTGCTCCAGCATGCCACCAAGCAGAAGCTGCTCATGTCTCATGCTCAATTACATTGGATTGGCTTCTGAGCAGCAAACCTACAGGCCTATGCTTGCAGATACTGTATTTGTCAGTAGTACATTCATCTTGATTGCCATTGTTACGTAGCGGTTCTCTGTTTTTTCGTTGAAGGTGGTGCCCCTGTCGCTCTCTGGCGCAAACACGGATCATTGCATTGACACCCGTAGCTTCCTCCTCGTGGTTTGTTCTGTGGGTTCGGTCCTGTGCGAACCGTGTCTGCAGCCTACCCGCACGAAAAACATACACAATCATGCATTCATGTTTGAGAGGCGGCGAGAGTCAGGGGAGATGTGACATTGGTCCAATCCCAGCGACTGTTGGCAGTTTTATATCGTGCTGACCATCCCATCCTCCGAAAACGAGGGCTGTCGGAATGTCACAAGGATCGCGGCCCCAACGGGCTCCGATCCCTGTGACTGTTGTCGCAGACTGCCCATGGGAGTGTCGGCGGGGGGCTTTCGTAGGGGACTGGGCTGCCTTTGCTTTCGGGTCTCCAAGCCTACAAGCCGCGTACTTCAAGAATTTGGAAAACTCTTCGACTGTAACAATTACAGAACTGTAGATAGTAAGTAAGATGCTTGTCTCATGTTCCTTCATTATCCGTGCTAGGCTTTTTGGCAAGACCTCAGTTCCTGAATCAAATGGTCATATTTGCACCCATCGCTCATACGCATCCCTTATGGCTTCCGGGTCTAAGCCTGAGAGACTCTGCAGAGGCGGATATTATGTTTCAGGAAATGGGATTCTCCAGAGCAGCAACCGACCATCGCCCTTATTCGAGAAACACAAGATGTGTTGGCCCAGAAGAAGAAAAGTGCACAGTGTCAGTAAGAGCTGTCACAAACAGGGTATGATCTTTTCTCCGGTCAATGTATGTTTTCCTGTCGCTGTAAGTAGAGGCTGTCCTTGTCAAGTTCCGGTCTTGTCTCTTGTCACAGTAGAACGTGCAGTCTTGTCAATGTCAAAGGCACGAGGCACAAACCCTTTCATGGTGAGAACGGGTGTGAACCCTCTCCGAAAGCTGAGATATTCTGTGACCCGAGGCCAACAGAGTGGCTCTTCTTCCTGCGCAATGCCGAAGCAGGCACCATGCAGACGAAGAGGAGTTGAGATCAAGCACTTGTTTCGGGTTCCCTTCGTGAAGGTAAAGGCGTTCTAGAGGACGGTGAGATCAGCGTCGCTTGCCCCGCCTGGGTGGACAAAACTGTCCGAGCCTCATATTATACTGCGTCATACAAGCTCGAAAAAATATCATTTGTCCAGCTTTGAACATCGCTCCAGGCTTGGGTGAAGTTGGACGTACTGGAGCGACTGACGGCACACAACGGCGAGATGCAGTTTGTGGGTCTTAAAGAGGTCCGAGTGTCCCTGTGAATTCTTTGTCGCATCATGCATGCATGCGAAGATGCTGTGTTGCAGAACATGTCGTGCCATATGAGCCAGGCAATCGCACATGACAGCGGCTGGAAGGCTTTCTGTCGAAGTGATGACATGTCCTGCCCTTACCGGGCTTCTGTGGACGACCCCTCAGAGCAGCACATGGACCTTCTTGCCTCAGGTACCAGCAACCCATGCCGAAGCCTTGGCCCGGACCCTACGGGCACTTTAAGGCTACAATAAGGGTTCCTTTAAAAGTCCAAGGCTTTACATCTGGTTTCAGTTGAAACTGTGCTACTAGGTTTGAGGCTCAAGCGATACATCAGAAGTTTTTCAATCATCTGGTTGTATCTATGTATGTAAGTAAGTATGTATGCATTTATGTACATATGTACGTATGTACGTATGTATGTATGCATGTACGTACGTACGTACGTACGTAGGTATGTATGTATGTATGTATATACGTGTGTGTATATGTGTGTGTGGATATGCATGCAGATGCCTCCCTGCACGTGCCCGGCTTGCAGGGACAAGAAGCTCACTGCATTCCAGCAAGCTCTGGTCATCAAGAGCATGCGTGTGGTCCTTATTCATGTTTGGGCAAGACAGGGGTCAGAGCCTTCCGTGATAAGGAGAGAACTTCTTGAACTTCGTGGCTCGGAATGTTGCATGGGCCCCAGACTAGAAGCAGTCTAATGTAAGTCTAAGTTGCCATTCAAGACCGAAGCAGCCGTGCCACTCGCCCAGGTCTTCCATGAACTGGGCCAACTCTTCATTGAGCCAGGATCAGAGCACTGTGTGTACCATGCCATACTGCTTGCGACGTACTTAGGCAGGCATTTATTTCGCAGTCAGGTCACCGCCCTTCAACTTGGCGAGTTGCTACGCAGCCAGGGTCCCGACAGTTGGACATGTGGCTTGACGTTGGGCTGTCGTGGGCAACATGAAGGTCCGAAGGTTTGAAATATGCGTGCGATACTGGAGGGTGATTACAAATACGAGTACAAATGCAAAGACTACGAATACGAGTGCTACTGTTGTTTGGCTGGAAGAGCCTGGTGTCTGAGTTGGGTCTTGAGTAGGAAGTCTACCGAAGCTCCGCCCCGGGGCTAATGTACCAATTCGCTGGAATGTACCATAGTATGCCAAGAATGAGCTCGAAGAAGCTATCTAAAATTACCCCCCCATGAACTGTCAATGTACCATAGTATACCAAAAATGAGCTCTAAGATGCTATCTATCATAACCCCCCCCCCCCCCAGAACTGGCAGTAGTCAGCAGACCTGGGCAAGTGTGAAGAGCCGGTGAAGGCTCGGAATGCCTGGGAGCCCTCGAACCCTTAACTTTGTGCGGTAGATGACTATCGTTTGTTCTAGTTTTGCTATAGTTGTTGTGTAGTGTATGGTGGTATATGACCGTGTAGTCTAATACTGTGTTATAGTAGTTGTTATAAGTATTACTATACAACAGTTATTAAGCCATAATGTTGCAGTCGATTGTAGTTCTGCAACAAGACATCTCATGCTCCCAGGATTCGGTGGCCACAATGCCCTTGATCTTTGTACTCTCTGCCGGTGCTGATCCCACCGAGTGAGCCTTGTGGGTTTAGGCCGAAGGGAGTTTAGGAGTTGAGGATTGTAGCATTGTCGGGTTTAGTATCTGGGGGTTTTGGGGTTTAGTGGCCTGACAGATTGACGAGTTTAGGGGGTATAGGGCTTCCGGGCTTGTAGGTTGGGGTCGAGGGGTTTCCAACGTAGGGTTCATGGACAAGCGCCCGTCCATAGATGTCGGGGCAGGTACTTGCTGACCCTGGCTGCCGAGAAAGGATACACCGAGAAGTTGCATTTCATTTCCCTGGGCCAGGGACAGGCAGCTTCCTCATTGAGACAGCAAATGTGAGCTTAAACTCAGCTTCCGTTTGAGATGGCTGTGGGGTCGAGGGGAAGCTTGCACCGGGGCTTGATGGAGTGCCTGCGATGTGCAGGGACCCAAAGCCGAAGCTTTGATCAAGCTAGGTCTGGTCCCTAGCCGGGGGTTGCATCGAAACTGGCGCTTGTGTCCTTGTCTGTTCGATAAACGTGCCAACAAGGATGGGACACGGGAGACTGGGTCTGCCTCCAGAACTGCCACCTTGCGGACAGCTGGATGCCAAGGACCAGTGTTGTCTGCAATACGATGTCATGAGAACGCCTCCGAAGCACACTGACATGCTAGCAGAAGCCGACTACCGAGCTGTGCAAAAGAGAACCCAGCCGGTGCTTCTTTGTTGAAGAGGCTGCGGTCATGTGGCAGGCTGGAAGCAATCCAAGAGTCACAAGTGCCGGACAAGATCAATCCCGACTACAGGCCGGTTCGATCCAGTTTGGTTTTTATGAGCCATTGGGTCATGGGCTTGCATCGCCTTTCGGGATGTCGGACTTTGGTCTTTTCAGTTTTTTCGTCGTGAGCAGCTCTGCTGGGTTCTTGATTCTGACGCAGGCTGTGGCTGACGAGCATGCCATCTCCCAAATTCCCTGTTCCGGTCTTGCAAAGTGGCATCAAGATCACGAATGAGCCTCCAAAGGGTGTCGGGCCAAGCTGATTCGGAAGTCCCTCTTCAGCAATCACTGCATAGGATGAAGAGTTGACTTGTAACAGGTTTGCGAGCCAACTTGGGTCGTACCTACCAAGACATTGGCGAGGACCTATATGGATGGCGATCACGTCGGTTGAAACATACGAATCGTGTGCACCATGGTGGAGGATGTCTTTGAAAGCTGCCCTTCCAAGCCAGCCGAGCCTCGTCCTCAGAATTGCGAGAAGCCATGGGAGCTCGAGAAAGTCCGCTTGAGAATGCTCAAAGTCGTGCCCCAGGTTCAAGAAGCTTCTGTTTGGGCTTGCTTTCTTCCATGCAGTGATTCTTGAACGTCGAAAGTTCGGCCCGATTGGTCCGACCCTCGCGTGTCTGAAGCACCAGACATTCGGCGTTGCGATGGCATTCTCGACCATTGACACGCTGCGGTTGAGGTTGGAACATTCCCTATGAATGGATGGACTCGGACTTTCAGGCATTCGCGCAGTGTCATTGATTGTGGGGGGCATTCTGCGGCACTACTACCAGCCTCTGGGCTTCTCAGGTCTCTCGAGAGCAGGTCCGCATGTACCTGGTGTCCCAGCCAGACGTTCCATGGATCACGCTGCGGTGCCCCGTGTGTCACAGACTTCGGCATCTTAGAACTGCGAAGCTGTTATGACACAGGTACATCATTGCGGAAGTGAACTATGGAGGGCGAGTAACTGACGACAAGGAAGTCTGAGCCTGCTCGGACTCCGACTGCATCCCATGCAGCTCATCCGCCGTGAATATCGCGAGGACGTGAGGCTCATCTCTGCAGTGCTCAAGGGCTACTTCGGCGTGCAAGCCTCAGGCAATGCAGGTATGTGGCGCTTTGGGCCTTTAGGGCTATGAATGTTGCAGTCATGATCTCGGCGAAACCCTCTGCAAATCTAGGAGAGGATTCTGGAGAAAGGCTTCAAATTTGCAAACCTCCAAGCCTGCATCCGAGCCTCAAAGTCTTTTGATGCGCGGAGTATGCTAACCTCGTGCAAGTCAGGAATATTGGATTCCTGAAGAGGGAAGCGCCTGACTCAACATGGTGGTGGATACAGCTGTGGTTTTGCATCGGACCTGTGTGACGAAGGCCTGCAGGAAACCAGAGACTATCTCAAGTCATTGCCTATGGATGAGGACACCGAGATGCATTCAAACTGCACCCTTGAAGCGTCCTCTGTGTCAAAAGTCCGTGTGGCACAAAAGCCATGATCACCTTGCACAAGCAGGTGTTTGCTTGTGGCAGTGAAACCTTCAGTTTGATGTTCCAACCTCCGTTCATGCGATAGACCGAATATCATCCTGAACTCGCGATTGCGGATCGATTGCAAGCCCTCCAGAAGGCCTGATGAGAGGGAGAGGTTCCGCTGAGGAGGAACAATGGAAGTACGTCTGGCATGCAGCCTTGTTTTTTTTGCAAGCAGCTGCCCTCTACAACCCAAGCGATGCCAGAGGCATGCAAGCACATCATCAGGAGCCTGGCACCCAAACAAGTCCGGCTGGGCGCATTCGCGCGCGTTTGCAGACAAAGGCGGCCTGTGTCAAGGCCACTATCGGCATGTGCCAGCATCTGATATGGCAGCCGCGAACGCATGCACTAGCGGTTTGGCAGACAAAAGAGAGGCGCAGGAGTACTTCCCAAAACCACTCAGTACAGTGAGAGAGTGTGTGTGTGTGTGAGAGGGTGTGACAAGCACGGGCTCGGTTGAGAAAGCGGCATGACGACATTGTGAGTTTTGTGTTGCCGGTTGGTCAAAACCCTCCAAGCCTCTGGCCCTCATGACCTAAGAGAGGACTATCAGCACTGGTGCAACATCGATGTAACCTTTTGCCACACGCCAGCAGCAACCCCGGCCAGCCACCCCGTAAACTTGCGACATTCGCATGACCGTGCGCACATGCCATCGCAAGCAAGTCCACGTCCACGGCGTCCAAAGAGTTGTCGCCGTACGGTTCAACCCTGGCTCTCAGCAAGCAGCCGACCGTCCTCGCGTGACCCAGTGCAACTGCCAGGGCTAGGTCTCGTTGCTCCCGAGTCAACCACTCCGCGAGCCCATCGAGCGCCAACTGGACGTCGGCATCCTCCTCCAACCTTGTGCCTTCGCACAAGACACGGCCGTCCGTCCTCTAAACCGGGAAGCGCGCACGCACAAATGATGGATTGGTTGCTTGGTTGACTGATTGATTAATCGAAAGATCTGAGATGACAAGTGCAGGACCCCCGCATTTTCGGGCCCGGCACCCATGTTGTGGTAATTTATCTTCTGTACCTTTGCTTTTACGTGTACGAGGCTGCACCCAAATGCGCTCATCACAGCCCAGCCGGAGACTTAGACCAGCAGCTCTGAAACTTGTGAAGTAGCCTGGTGTCTCCAACATGAACTTGCTCTTTCAGCTCTCTTAGCTGTGTCATACCTGAGCTCAACCAGGTTCAACCAGGCCAAGAAGTTCCTGGATACAGTTGTCAGCGTTCAGTCGCGGCCTTGGTGCTGGCCCATGGGCACGAGTGAACCTCAGAAAGTTGGAACATGGGTGTAGGATGATTTATGCCGGGATTCCCTATACCTCCTTCTTGTCGCGAGTACTCAAGCTCACCGCACTGCCAAAAAGGCCCCGCATTTCCTCGGGTGGCGGTGGCAAGAAGCCAGAAGAAATTGTTGCGGATATGGCGCAGGACATGCATCGGTGCACTACACGTGGTCATGTAGCCGTGATGCAATGCCAGCAGCAGAGACATGACCATTTCCTAGATGCTTAAACCGCAGCTGCGGGCATGAAGGAGTTCTTGCAACGAATTCCAGACGCGGTGAAGAGCAAGATGGCCCACGCCGAAACCTACAAAAAGACTCCTCAAGGCCCAGTGAGAACGAGCGAATCGAGTCTCTGCGAACTCGAGCCTGAGTTGAGGCGGGATCGTCTCCGTTGGTGTCTTCCACAGCCAGGCCTGGGCCGGCGAAGTGAAAGGACGCAGACACCTGGCGATGTTCCGCAGGAATATGCCCGCATCGAGAAGCTCATCAAGGTGGTCAAGTCCAGCCTGGTCATGCTGGGCAAGGCAAGGCACGGATCTGCTTGGAATCTGAAATCCACACGGCCGAACTCCGGCTACCAAATGAAGCACTATACTGACCTTGCTGTTGCAGTAGCGTTTTTAGTACCATTGCAGCAATCCCATCGTAACAAAAGTGAGTGTAGATATGCAGGCCATCAAAGGTACGGTGCTCATGTCGGCGGAGCTGGAGGGAATGCCGCGCCCCAAGCGGTCCGTCGTTCCGCCCCACATGCCTTGCTCTGTTCTGCCTTGATTTGCAGGTTCAACGCCTTCCAGGAGCAAAAGGTCCCAGGCAATTGGGGAAAGGCTCCCACCGGTCTGAGAACCGACCACTGGCTGCCGGGAGTTTGGGTTCATTTCGCACCTGCGCAGGTTGCATATCCCTGCCTGAAGCCGCTGAACTCCTGGGTGTTGCGCCAAGTAAGGCTTGTGGCTTGTGGGTGTTGCCATGAGGTATTGCAGAGCTGATGAATGGTGGAAGGTAGGCGGTGCTGAGGGGGAAAGCTGTCTCGCAGGCACACTCATGCCCAACTGACGCCATAGTCGCGCAAGAGCGGGTGTTGGGGGGATGTAGCCGGCGGGGGTGACTTTTTTGTTCTTCGTCCACCTAAAGCTGCCTGAACACTTAGCGCCACGACACCATTTCGCTGTTGAGCAGATAAAGATGGTGTGGCCCTTTGTGATTTGCCGTGCAAACGAGCCCTTGCTTGTGACAAGGGAGGCTGATCTCCGTCAAGACCCAAGGAAAGTATTGCTCGTTCTCCCGGTCTCCTTCACAGCTTTGGTTAACCATGCGATGCAACCTCGATCGCCTTGTGATAGAAGACCCGCCAGATTGAACCCTTTCCAGCTTTGGATTGACATGATGGATGCGCAATCGTGAGAAAGGGAAGAGTGGGCCTTAGGTGGTAGACTTCATTGCCCGCATCGGCTTCTTGGTGAAGTGGCTGGTCGAAGGGTGTCGAACCCACTGATTGCTGTGCAAGCTGACTTTAACGCAGCGGAGTAGACGTCCCGTAAACTTGGCTCGTACCATAGGCCGCCGTTGAGCTACTGGATTTCCTGCTTCTTCTTTCCACAGGCACGGAATGGAGTTTTCACGCTCGGGTGCAGTCGCCAAAATTGCAGGGCTTCATGACAGCGGCCCTGCAGCTGCACGCGAGGCCTTGATTGTCAGTTTTTTTTAACAGTTTGACTCTGTTTGACTGAAGACCCTCCAGGAAGACGAAGATTCCCATCGACACCCTCGAGTTTTTCTCTGAAGTCACCGCCGCCTTGTCCTCGGAAAAGAGCAACGCAAGAAGGGCTGATGTCAAGGGCAAGGTACCAGGGATGTCTTATTAGCGGCTTGTGTCGCTGAGGTGCAAGACAGCACAACAGTGCAATCGCCACCTCCGTGTGGATCTTGTTGCAGAGAACAGCAGCAAAAGCAGTGAGTGGTGGTGTTCTTGACGCCGGGCATGGCCCAGGAACGGCGTCAACATTCATGGGCTCTTCCTTCAAGGATGTGGTTGGGTGATGGCCCCAGCAGGAGTGACAAAGGTGTCGAGCTGCAATTTACATCCCATCACGCTAGACAGCCTCGGCACATCTGATCTGTCTCTCGGGCAATGGAGGTGGGGGGAGATGTTATTTCGCGCACACTCTCACCTTGGTGTTGGTTTGTTGTCCTTAAACTTGGTGTCGGAGCCAAGCTTGTTCAGCGTCATCTTGTTTTTTCGCTTCATCGTCTTTGGCTGCTGTCCGCCGCTTGAGATGTCCGAGGACATGTCCAAGGGCTTGCTGAAAGAGTCCGACAAGGCCGTGAAGCCGCCTGCCGTATCGCATGCATGTGATACGGAGATTTGATCTTGAAGCTTACAAACCCTTCTGCCGACCAACGGAAAGATGACGCGTGCCGGCCGCTTTGGTGTAAGCAGAGCACAAACTGCAGAGCATGCCCTTCAGACAAAATGTGTCACAGGACGTCGTGTTCGTTGAGATGCCAGTCATCCACCTAGAGCCACTGGCGATCACAGACAGCTCCAAGCCTGCCTCCCAGAACATCGCTGTCAAAGTATACCGCGTTGCGAATCATTGGGTGTCGGCTGCGAATGTTGTAACTCCGGTGTTCGTTCTTTCAAGACTGTTGACATCTGGACTGGGGTTTGTTGCACTGCCCAGGCGAGTGATCGACGGAAATCTGTACATGTGCCCGATCTACAAAACATCTGAGCGCAAGGCCACTTGTCTGATAGCGAAGTGCAGCACAGATTCACGTGGCCTCGATGGTCCAAGTCCAACTTGGGTGTGCCAGGGGACATTGTCCACTACCGGCCATTCGACCAACTTTGTGAAGTTTTTCCCGTTGAGCCAAGACGAGGCCAGGTACCCGAGAGCTGCGCACAAAGTGTCGCTGTTGGCCACCATTGTCTCTCCTATGTATATGTATATATATATATATACATAAATAATAATAGTAGTTATCATATAATAGAATATAATATAATATAGTATAATATAGTATAATATAACATACTATAATATACTATAATCTAATGTCATCGTTGCCAGCTTGCTGCCTCAGCTTCTGCCAGGCAGACACCGCCCACTGGATTGCACGAGGAGTGCCTCGGATTGGACAAGACCTCTCCTTGATTCTTGGGGGCTGAGTGTGCTGGCACGAGCTCGGTGTTGCAGAAATCACATCTTACCGCTCTGCCACTGGTAGTTTGTAAGTGGGACACGACTTTGGGATTCTGGGCCGGAGTTGACCACTTTCTTCTTTTGCATTGGAGTATGACGAGAACTCTTCAAACCCGTTCTCGCAAACCTCACTGGAATAAAGTTGTGCAATGACATGCAAGACGTTCGCACGTGGATGGGCTCAACAGTTTGATATGACGATTTGGATGCTGCTATACTGGCCCGGAGTTGCCAACCTTCAGGGCTCATGCTACGGCATGAGATTAGGTGCCAAAGTATAGTATGGCATAGCAGTTTATAGAGTGTATAGTATAGTCTGGTATTGTAGGTTATAGTATAGTAAAGTATAGTATAGTGTAGTGTAGTATAGTACAGTACACTACAGCATAGCACAGTATAGCACAGTACAGTGTAGTACAGTGTAGTACAGTGTAGTACAGTATAGTACAGTATAGTATAGTACAGTACGTCACAGTATAGTACAGTATAGTATAGTGTCGTGCAGTGTCGTGTAGTATAGTATATAGTATAGTGTATTAACTGTAATCAGTTGACATTGACAAATTCAACAGGGACTGGCAAGGACTTCACGCCATGAAGCAAGATGCCCAGCAGAATTGACGAGCCAAGGTAGCAATGCTTTGCATGCTGGACGACTGAGCCTGGTGACCGCCAAACGGACCGCAGCCATTGGGGATTTTCCGGTGGACCCCTGCTTGCCAGTTGCGCTCAGGCCAGTCAAACTCTAAGCTAAAGGCAATAGCTGCGCAAGAGTAACTAGCATGACATTTTCTGGTAGCCGCCAGGCCGCTGGTAGCATGCTTCGCAGACAAATGTCTCCGAGAGAATTCATGTTTCACTGTTGCGAGCCGGCCAAAGGCATCGGCAGTTTCATGGATCAGATTTCATCAGCGGTACCACACAATAAAATATAAACTAGCCAGGTTTGAATCAAGGTGCCGTTCGGTCTGGACGACATCAGTCTTGCATAAGTATGGTGGCACCATCCTACAGTTGTAAATGAGCACGTTCGGGCAGCTCCCGAAGAGAAGTAGCCATGGCGGCATCGTAGCCAAACGGTTCGGCCGCCACGCGGCTATGGTTAGAAAGAAGGACAGCGAGGTGTGACCGTTATGGACGGACAATAGAGTGCACATGGTTTTTCATCAGTTAGATGGTTCAACATGCCTTCAATTCTAACTAAAGCAAAGGATATCACTCCGTGAATCTAAAGCCTGTCGCAAGGCCTTCTGCAGACCCTATTGGATCGTACTACGACGGTAGTACTGACGTGTCGTCATGCAATTTGATCAGCCCTCGGATTTATTTGCCACACTTCCTGATTGAGATTTGGATAAGCTTGAAACATCGTTGCAGCGCATGAGGATGCAACTAATACGGTAGCAGTTTAGTATTCCTGGATATGTGTATAGTATAAAGCTCGCAGCACTCCAGTCTACTGCTTAGGCTTCTATGAGGCAGTGCCGATGACTCACAGAAACATGATGGTGCCGGTAATGTGCAGGATCACAACAGCTCGCAAATCCAGTAACCCCGAAGGCGGACGAGGTCATCAAACCAGTCTAGCTTACTTCCATGGATGAAGCAGCATGCCAAGCCTATGATTATGGGTCGGAGACTCAGATGTGACAGAGCACCGCTTGCAAGGAGACAGAATCGACTGAGGGTGCGGTCTCCTGTGCGAGATGCCTGGACACCAGAGAATGAGAAGCCTTCGCCTCAACATTCAGTTTTGCTGCTTCCAGATGCCCATCCCGGTAGTCACCGAGGCCAGGTCCGCTGCAGGCCAGGTCCGAATGCAGTGACCGCTTCATCCCGAGCAGAGCTGCGAGAGCCCCAGCGCACCTCCGAGTCTGCAGAGTCCGAGCACTAATATGATTACTACCATCATGATTAGAATTGTCAATTGCTAGTATCATGGCTACTGTTACAGTTATTGCCTGTGGCCTGACAAGGCTTCGGACCTTGAGAGTGGGCTGACGCTGCTCTCAGAGCCTGCAGCCCAGCTGAGAGATTCCATGACCAGATCAGAGATCAGAGTAGTCATCCTGTAACAGCATTAGTAGTAATTATTATTATCAGTTCTTAAGGAGCTCTCGGCCACCAGAAGCGCGCGACGAGAACAACTCGGTGCCTCCAAGCAAGCATCTGAAGCGACAGCTTGGCTAACCCGTCTTCAGACTGGCCAGGTCTATGCGCAACTTCTCCGGAGCGAGTTTGGCACTCGATCGTCTCAATTTTGGAGTCCTTCGGCCCTTCTCTTCGTCCGCGGGGGAGGCTCCTTGGGATCCGCCCGGGGTCGGCCGAGAAGGAGGAAAAACCCTTTAGGCGGGCTTCCTTCTTTCGGGAAAGCTGGCGCGAGAAGTGCAAAGCGCTATAGTTATCCCTTCAGGTCTCCAGACAGCAAAAGCCTCTTCAAATACAAGAGCTGCCCGCAGGACGGCAGTCCTCTGACCCAAGACAATGCAAGCCCTACACGCCTTGTTCAGGTCAGTCACGAGGATGCCTTTTCCTTGCGGCACCCTCAAGAACAATCGTCAGCAACGTTTGACGACCCGTTACGACTCTTGCAGTTGCGGCCGACTGCGTGGTGGATCAGGTCACCCGTTTCCTTCCAGAGCAGCCGCTTGTCAGCTCCCGAGATGCCGCATATGCCAAAGATTGCCAAAGTCTGCTGGCAGCTGCCGGCTGACATCTTTCCTCAGGCTGAGCACACCCCGAAAGGCGCCAAGAAAGATCGCAAAAGTGCCTTTCAAGGCAGCAATCAACGCATGTCCATGAAGCCCCCATATCCTCCGGCCTGTAGCCGCGAGCAAAGGGTCCGGGCCTGCCAGGTCCTGGATGCTCCCCAGCTGCAGGACTTGGCCGGTTCTCTTGCTAAGCCTGCCACAGTCCTGCAACCCAATGTGTACTCAGGACGACTTCTATCTGAACCTGGTAGATTGGTCCTCGGCGAACGTGCTATCGGTAGGCTCTGTCCTTGGTTATGCCTGGCATGAAAGAGAGTTGGATTGAACCGCGCCACGAGTAGAAGCCTCGAGCTGGGGGTATGGCGCACACCAGGTTTGCACGCACAATGCAGGCAGATGGGGGTCAACGAGGAGTCGCTCGGTTGCTGAAGACTCGACAAGCCAGCAAAATGCCACTGTACGCGTACTACCTGTTTCGGTTCTGCTTAGAGACAGGGGCTGACATAGTGAGACATAGTTACACCTCCCTCACTGTACCCGGCATTGCATTTCGTGCTGAACGTGCTCATCTGTCGATGATTCGTTTGACAATCGCATCGTTGGCCCTAAACACGCAACAACCGATTTGCGGCACGAGCGCAAGTGCACCACATGTGGACAGGCGCAGCAACTTTGCCCACAAAGATGCGGAGAATAGTCGTGGGAAGCGTGTAGCATTTGCTGGATCGGAGCCTCCTACTGCTTGAATATATGTGCCGACACGGCCCGTCTGCAACCTCCTACTCCGTGTTGTTGCATTCCATGGGGCTGCACTCACTCACTCACTCACTCACTCACTCACTCACTCACTCTCTCTCTCTCTCTCTCTCTCTCTCTCTCTCTCTCGCTCTCTCGTCCCCGTCAGGTCTAAGCAACTGCGTGTAC